GGGGGAATTCTTTCGAACAATTAAGGTAATATCGCTCAAAAAAATTACCTATTTTTCCTCCAAAAATTGACGATTTTTGCTCAAATCTACAAATTGATGTGTGTTAGTGTATTGATTAATGTTTCTATTGCATCCAGATGAATTTCTGCTTTGTTTTGAGAAAAGTCAAATTTTGGCCGATTTTGACTAAAAATGTAAGGCTAATTTTTGCATTTTCTTTCAATTTTGGCCAAAAAATTAAATTTCCTGAAAAGTTGCTAGAAAGATGCCTTAAGGGCCCTAGAACGCATTCCAAATCGATTGCTGGACATATGTGCTATTAAAGGGGAAATTCTGTCCAAAAATTAAGGTAAAATCGCTCAATAAATTACCTATTTTTGTCCTCCAAAAATTGACGATTTTTGCCCAAATCTTCAAAATTATGTGTGTTAGAGTATTGATTGATGTTCCTCTTGCATCCAGGTGAATTTCTGCCTTGTTTTGGGAAAAGTCAATTTTTGGCCGATTTTGACCAAAAATGTAAGGCTAACCCCTTGCATTTTTTTCAATTTTGGCCAAAAAATGAAATTTCCTGAAACTTGCTAGAAAGATGTCATAAAGGCCTTAGATGCATTCCAAATCTATTGCTGGACAGGTGTGGTATATCTGGGGGAATTCTTTCGAACAATTAAGGTAAAATCGCTCAAAAAAATTACCTATTTTTCCTCCAAAAATTGACGATTTTTGCTCAAATCTTCAAATTGATGTGTGTTAGTGTATTGATTAATGTTTCTATTGCATCCTGATGAATTTCTGCCTTGTTTTGAGAAAAGTCAATTTTTGGCCGATTTTGACTTAAAATGTAAGGCTAACCCCTTGCATTTTTTTTTCAATTTTGGCCAAAAAATGAAATTTCCTGAAAGTTGCTAGAAAGATGCCTTAAGGGCCCTAGAACGCATTCCAAATCGATTGCTGGACAGATGTGCTATTAAAGGGGAAATTCTGTCCAAAAATTAAGGTAAAATCGCTTAATAAATTACCTTATTTTTCCTCCAAAAATTGACGATTTTTGCCCAAATCTTCAAAATTATGTGTGTTAGAGTATTGATTGATGATCCTCTTGCATCCAGGTGAATTTCTGCCTTGTGTTGAGAAAAGTCCATTTTTGGACGATTTTGACTAAAAATGTAAGGCTAACCCCTTACATTTTTTTCAATTTTGGCCAAAAAATGAAATTTCCTGAAAGTTGCTAGAAAGATGCCTTAAGGGACCTAGAACGCATTCCAAACTGATTGCTGGACAGATGAGCTATTAAAGGGGAAATTCTGTCAAAAAAATTAAGATAAAATCGCTCAATAAATTACCTATTTTTCCACCAAAAATTGACGATTTTTGTCCAAATCTTCAAAATTATGTGTGTTAGAGTATTGATTGATGTTCGTCTTGCATCCAGATGAATTTCTGCCTTGTTTTGGGAAAAGTCAATTTTTGGCCGATTTTGACTAAAAATGTAAGGCTAACCCCTTGCATTTTTTTTCAATTTTGGTCAAAAAATGAAATTTCCTGAAAGTTGCTAGAAAAATGCCCTCTTGCATCCAGGTGAATTTCTGCCTTGTTTTGAGAAAAGTCAATTTTGGGACGATTTTGACTAAAAATGTAAGGCTAACCCCTTACATTTTTTTTCAATTTTGGTCAAAAAATGAAATTTCCTGAAAGTTGCTAGAAAGATGCCTTAAGGGCCATAGAACGTATTCCAAATCGATTGCTGGACATATGTGCTATTAAAGGGGAAATTCTGTCCAAAAATTAAGGTAAAATCGCTCAATAAATTACCTATTTTTGTCCTCCAAAAATTGACGATTTTTGCCCAAATCTTCAAAATTATGTGTGTTAGAGTATTGATTAATGTTCCTCTTGCATCCAGGTGAATTTCTGCCTTGTTTTGGGAAAAGTCAATTTTTAATAATAATAATAATAATGAAGATTTATAAAGCGCACATATCCACCTATTAAGGCGCTCAAGGCGCTATAAACACAATAAATCTAAGTTACTCAGAAAATAAACATAATACCAATAGAGAGAGAAAACAAATCACAAATTTTAAAATAAGAAACAACATATACACTCTGTTGTTGTCTTGGTGCATTCTTCCCACGTGAACAACATGAACGTCGGCCTACATCGCCAGGCATCTCCAATTCAGATGTAAACATAAAGATGTGGCGAATGCACACCGACGCCCACGCCGCTCACGTGATCAGAATGCACCTGGCTCAGAAACAATAAACGGAATGAAATTTTGACTAAAAATGTAAGGCTAACCCCTTGCATTTTTTTTCAATTTTGGCCAAAAAATGAAATTGACTGAAACTTGCTAGAAAGATGCCATAAGGGCCTTAGATGCATTCAAAATCGATTGCTGGACAGGTGTGGTATATCTGGGGGAATTCTTTCGAACAATTAAGGTAATATCGCTCAAAAAAATTACCTATTTTTCCTCCAAAAATTGACGATTTTTGCTCAAATCTACAAATTGATGTGTGTTAGTGTATTGATTAATGTTTCTATTGCATCCAGATGAATTTCTGCTTTGTTTTGAGAAAAGTCAAATTTTGGCCGATTTTGACTAAAAATGTAAGGCTAATTTTTGCATTTTCTTTCAATTTTGGCCAAAAAATGAAATTTCCTGAAAAGTTGCTAGAAAGATGCCTTAAGGGCCCTAGAACGCATTCCAAATCGATTGCTGGACATATGTGCTATTAAAGGGGAAATTCTGTCCAAAAATTAAGGTAAAATCGCTCAATAAATTACCTATTTTTGTCCTCCAAAAATTGACGATTTTTGCCCAAATCTTCAAAATTATGTGTGTTAGAGTATTGATTGATGTTCCTCTTGCATCCAGGTGAATTTCTGCCTTGTTTTGGGAAAGTCAATTTTTGGCCGATTTTGACTAAAAATGTAAGGCTAACCCCTTGGATTTTTTTTCAATTTTGGCCAAAAAATGAAATTTCCTGAAACTTGCTAGAAAGATGCCATAAAGGCCTTAGATGCATTCCAAATCTATTGCTGGACAGGTGTGGTATATCTGGGGGAATTCTTTCGAACAATTAAGGTAAAATCGCTCAAAAAAATTACCTATTTTTCCTCCAAAAATTGACGATTTTTGCTCAAATCTTCAAATTGATGTGTGTTAGTGTATTGATTAATGTTTCTATTGCATCCTGATGAATTTCTGCCTTGTTTTGAGAAAAGTCAATTTTTGGCCGATTTTGACTTAAAATGTAAGGCTAACCCCTTCCATTTTTTTTCAATTTTGGCCAAAAAATTAAATTTCCTGAAAGTTGCTAGAAAGATGCCTTAAGGGCCCTAGAACGCATTCCAAATCGATTGCTGGACAGATGTGCTATTAAAGGGGAAATTCTGTCCAAAAATTAAGGTAAAATCGCTTAATAAATTACCTTATTTTTCCTCCAAAAATTGACGATTTTTGCCCAAATCTTCAAAATTATGTGTGTTAGAGTATTGATTGATGTTCCTCTTGCATCCAGGTGAATTTCTGCCTTGTTTTGAGAAAAGTCCATTTTGGGACGATTTTGACTAAAAATGTAAGGCTAACCCCTTACATTTTTTTTCAATTTTGGCCAAAAAATGAAATTTCCTGAAAGTTGCTAGAAAGATGCCTTAAGGGCCCTAGAACGCATTCCAAATCGATTGCTGGACAGATGTGCTATTAAAGGGGAAATTCTGTCCAAAAATTAAAGTAAAATCGCTAAATAAATTACCTATTTTTCCTCCAAAAATTGACGATTTTTGCCCAAATCTTCAAAATTATGTGTGTTAGAGTATTGATTGATGTTCCTCTTGCATCCAGGTGAATTTCTGCCTTGTTTTGGGAAAAGTCCATTTTTGGAAGATTTTGACTAAAAATGTAAGGCTAACCCCTTACATTTTTTTCAATCTTGGCCAAAAATGAAATTTCCTGAAAATTGCTAGAAAGATGCCTTAAGGGCCCTAGAACGCATTCCAAACTGATTGCTGGACAGATGTGCTATTAAAGGGGAAATTCTGTCAAAAATTTAAGTAAAATTGCTCAATAAATTAGCTATTTTTCTTCCAAAAATTGACGATTTTTGCCCAAATCTTCAAAATTATGTGTGTTAGAGTATTGATTGATGTTCGTCTTGCATCCAGATGAATTTCTGCCTTGTTTTGAGAAAAGTCAATTTTTGGGCGAGTTTGACTTAAAATGTAAGGCTAACCCCTTGCATTTTTTTCAATTTTGGCCAAAAAATGAAATTTCCTGAAACTTGCTAGAAAGATGCCATAAGGGCCTTAAATGCATTCCAAATCGATTGCTGGACAGGTGTGGTATTACTGGGGGAATTCTTTCGAACACTTAAGGTAAAATCGCTCAAAAAAATTACATATTTTTTCTCAAAAAATATACGATTTTTTCTCAAATCTTCATAATTATGTGTGTTAGTGTATTGGTTAATGTTTCTCTTGCATCCAGATGAATTTCTGCTTTGTTTCGAGGAAAGTCATACTTTGGCCAATTTTGACTAAAAATGTAAGGCTATTAAAATATTTTTGGTTAAAAATAGAATGCAAGATTTAGCACGCACAATTTATAATCTTAGCGTTATTTTAGTGAAAATGCAATGTTAACCCCCCCCCCCGAAACAATTCTTTTTAGAATTAGCTTGCATTATAATATTAAAGTAAGCATTTGAAGGAAAATCAGATTTTGGCCAATTTGGATAAGAACGCACGGTTAAACTCTGACAAAGTTAAATTTTAATGAAAATTATTTATAAAACTGTTAGCGTTTAAGGCAACTTGGAGGCAACCAAATGCAGCGTGAGCCAAAAGACCGCTAAGGAAATTCTTCAGAAAGTTAAAGGAATGAATTACCATTTGTCGTTTTCTTCTAGAATATTGTCTGGAACAAATACATAGCTTGGAAATTGCCTCGTGTGATCTGGCCTTCAAAGAATAAATAACCCGAAAGACACTTTTGTATATCATCTGCGTCAGTTTAATCTCCTTGCAGTTCAGCATAATTGTACTACCGTGCGATTTTGAGCACCAACACTGTTATACCCACAATAAAAGGGCCTGTTTTTTCCCCAAATCATACGCAATACAGTTGAGTTACACTCATCCTGAATATATAAAATAATATTCTTGTCATGAATAAACAAATCTTTGAAGTATTTACATACAAATAAATCAAGGCTATAATTGAATAAAATACTGATGGGATTCAAATGCATAAAGAATAGCAACCATAATATATGTAGCAGCTCCTAAACACGATTCGGAAAATATATTACTTTTCTTTTTTAATTTCTTCTCTGAAAATATTTTAACAAGATCCAGTATATATTAATATTCATATTTCTGATCTGGCAAAATGTAATACATTTTTAAATAGAATTTGAAATTGAGTAATCTCATTATTTATATTAAACAACACAATGATTCACTGGTGTTTACACCGAGCATCAATATCTTACATTATAAGCATTATCAGGGATTTTAAAAATTTCTGAACAATTTCTGATTTTTCTTTAGTAACGAGCTTATGTGCTACAGATTGTCAAAAAGACAACACAAGTAATAATTTACATCAGGAGTCGAAATAATATTACCGATGTGCAGAAAATGCTGTTGTACATTTGAAAGCTTGTGTTCTCAGATGTTGTTAAATAGACCTGGTGTAACATACGACTTGAAGAAATGAAGGTACATTTGTGTAGAAACTAATAACAGAAAAATGTATATTCTGTTACAACGTGTGAAGAGCAGTACATTTGTTTAACAATACTTTTGAAAAGATACACGCATGGTTAATATTTCAAAACCCTGTTGATAAACATGCATATCACTTGCCATACCTGTTAGATGTATAAGTGTAAGAAAGCTGAAAAAGGCAATTATGCCAAATGCTGCCACGTTTCTCATTAGTTTTACTAATCTAAACAAAAACCCATAAAAAAAACTCACACCGAGTTAAAGGTGCATTCCCCGTTCTCTTCAACAAATTCAACTTTTGTTCTCGTTTAATAAATGTTCAACTTATATCTTTTATTCCAACAAAACAAAAAAATCCTTGTTTCCTTTTTTGGATGTCTACAACTCTCTGAAATTTTTTTTGTTTTGTTTTGGGCACAAACAGATCCATTTTGCGAGCAGACTGTCTCCCGGTCTGTACATTATCGATACTGATAGTGGGAGGGGAACCAAGCCTATCCTGCATAAATGGAATTATCCTCTGGCAGCCAATAATTCAAACTTTTCAAGTAATAATTCAATAACTAACAGGCACGCAATTTTCCTGGGGTCCACTGATTTCCTTGTTTTTTTTTTACTTCTCATGAGTCATGAATGCCATTACAAATTGAAAAATACTGTACAAAGTCTTGTGTGGTTTCCTCGTTTTTTTCTAAATTCGTAGTTGCATGCCTGGAGTAAACATTGGCCAATTTATTTTTTTGGGGGGGGGGGTTCGATTTCTCATGTGAATGTGAATAACTTTGTATTGCTAGAAAAATAGCTATATGTAGAAAAGTAATCTTTTAGGGGGGACAATAATCGAAAATGGCACAAGGAATACATCTTGAATCCAATGGCCTGTTAGGATGAAGCCCATGTACAGTATAAGTGCTGAAGCTGTACAGTCCTTGACCCATCAAAACCAAAACAAAGTGAATGGATGTGGGGAGGGAGTAAGGTATCACAGTCTAATTTACATCTTGCCATTCATAAGAAGTTTTAGTATCCCTCATCATAATTCATTAACATAAGAGATAATAATGTAAATCTTAGGAACCAAAGCATGCCTTCTTTAAGACAAAACAAAATCATTTTGATCTATAAGCAAAGAAAAAGGTGTTCAGTAGAAATATCAGAAATGGATAATGAAAATAATCTTCACCTCATGCCTAGGAAAGTAGAGTTTATACAAGACAGAAATTTAGCTGGCTACATTTCCACACTGACCTGTGCGTGATAACCGCCAAATGGAGGTGATTGCACAGTATTGAGCAGAAACAGAAGCAAAAGACAGCTGTCCAATGCCTTAAATAGTTACGCATCTTTTGTGCGGGTCAATCTTCCTGGCTGCAACTTGACAAATTATGCAGACTTACACACAAAGATGAGACCAAATCATACGCAGCATTGAAATGTATAGCCCTTCATCCATTGCACACAAAAAATTGGTTTTAACAAATTCTCAACTATTTACACAAAAAATTACCCAGACAATTTTTTTCAATGAAACTTCTGGATCCCTGGTATTCGTTTTTTTTTGTTGTTTTTTTCAGGCGCGTAGGTCTTTTTCTTGCTTTGCCTCCAACGCTCGTCTCTCAAAGGCAAGATGTGCTTTCTCCAGGTCATTGATGACATCTATGAGTGTGGCAGCAGAGGCCATGCGTGAGTCGTGGTACGAGACCGTCTTGTGGCAAGGCTTGTGCGGTCTCACTGCACCATTGTCTGTTGGGGTCATCAGAGTAAGGAGAAACTGATCAAGTTTGGTAACAACCCCAAATGAGCACAGACTCACAGAGGCAACTTGGGTTTATGACAACTGCTGATAGTTCGACTGTAATTATAATGCCAGCAAGCAGGTCTAAGAAAAAGGATTATTTTGTTTTTACAGCACTCCATCATTAGTATTCAGTGCCTATAAAAAAAAATTCACAGACTTCAAAGGTGTGAGGAGAATCAACAACTTTCCACTTATTATTACACTGACTTAGACTACATGAATGTTTTATTGATGTCACCTGTGTTGCAGGGTGGATACAGCTTTGACACAAAGGGGGGGGGGGGGGGGGGGGTGGGGGGGGGGGGGTAGGCAGGTGCTACAATGATTTTTCAATTTTTGTTGCAGCTGGGGGGGTGTGAATTTAGACACCCTACCCCTCTCATAGTAGAACCGCCACTGGGTTTAATCAATAGAATAGTAATAATTATTACAGGAAATAGCTGATGGTGGAATTTGTGTCAGGCTGGATGACAACCATAGGTTTTAAGAAAGTAAGAAGTGTTAATGATACTATTGAGTGAAAAATGTTTGAAATAATGTGTAAAAATAGCCAGAAACTGCTAGGACAAAATAAACAGGTGCAACCAATCCTGAGCTACCACATGCAGAGTCAAAGTCCTTTTCTACTTTTAGGGATCTATGTATCATACAGAATTTGACCTATCACATCCAATTTCGTTCAGACAAAGATGGTAAATTGTCATTTACATGCTTTACAAGATATTGCAAAGGATTTTTCAATGTTTAATGGCATAAGTGTGCACTGGAAAAATAAAAAATCACCTAATTCCATAAAAGTTACATGCCTGGATAACCTATGGGATAGTCATACCAACCTGAGTTGGTTACTACAGCGGCTGAGTTGATGTCATCTTCCGTACCATTGCCTGAATCCTCCTCGGGATCACCCCTCAACACAGCACTCCCTGCATCCGATTCTTCCAAATACTTTTTCCTAGGAAAAAGATTTGTCATTATACAACACCAGAATAAATTCCTGTTATCAGATTGGTGGGCCATTGATCACGTGACACTGAATTATTCATCCCAACCCACGCCCCAGCCACACCACAAAAAGGGAAGTTCATTCCACAGTAAATAGAATTTCCATTGCACATAGTGCTACAACACAGCTCTGATGGGTCTGACGTACACGGTACATTCATTCACACATAATGGAGGACAATGATGAAGATTTATTCAGATAATGTACCAAAAAATAATGAATCTTTCATATTCGTGCAGTGGAAAAAAATTTTCATTCGATGACACTCGGAGACAATCAAAGGTTTTGAAAACATGCTTTGACTCTTTAGGTAGGTAGCAAAGTGAGTATCTAAAGCCTTATGGCACAATTACACATGATTGACCAACCTCAAGACGTCTTTGCCTAGTCTGAGTTGACTGAATATAATCTGCGCCTCTACGTCCGGATCTAAGGGATCTCTCCAGTCACCCAGCGTTGCTGCATTATGGGCCCGACTGCATCCAACATATGCTGCAGAGAAAAACAATACCAATTCATGACGAGAAATTATTCAATAGTGATAAGAACTATATTGAACAATTCGGGCGATTCACAATGCAGTGCGCCACCAAGAGTTTGCAACGAAGAGTTCATTTTCCCCAGTGCATTGTGGGAGATGGTCGACAAATTCACAGTGCGGGACTTTTGAAATTGTTCGTTTTTCCAGTCAGTAGTTTCGTATAGGTATGCTTCGAGTATCTGTTTGCTCTTTTGTTTTCTTTTTATCAATGTGTTTTTTTTGTGAGGCGGCAGAACGTTATGCCCCAATCTATAACAAATTAGCTCAAGTTGTCTACTGACACTCATTCAAATGGGCCATGTTTTGTCGACCGTAAACTAGAAAAATGGACTCTCCATGGCAAACTCTTGGTGGCGCACTGCATTGTGAATCACCCGAATTGTTGACTGACTCACTGACTGACTGTCACTTGTGAGCTGAGTAGCGCTATCAAATAGTACGTATTACCCCGTAACATGAATGAATGTGCTACATCAGACCTATTGTGTAGACCAGATGCATGAAGAGAAGCTTCCATTAAAAAGCGATTTGAATCGATTACAGTTGAATCTTGATAAGTCAAACCTCTGCTCAAATATTAAGCAGAATTTTGGGTTATCCAATGGATTTTGTATTCAACAACAATTGACGGGAATATGTTTTTTTAGTTTGAGTTAGAAGGGTTCTTGAGCTAACAGGTTTTGACTTATTGAGATCTCACGAGATTTTGAGATTATGTGCATTCATTTGTGCAGTCCATCACAAGTCTGTCATAAATCCAGTTACAAGTAAATCACAAGTCATTTCACAGTTCTGGGCACAAGTAACATGCTATAAACAACAAGAAAGGAGGGCCTTTGTCACTGCTGATTCAAATAGACTCTGGCCTAATTATACCTGTATGACTTGCGATGGACTTGATTACAACAATGATTGCAAGTCAGACATAATGAACACACCAAAGGTCTACTCATACCAACACCAGAACAAACAAAAGCATCGCCTTCCACAATGGCTGCTTTGCACATGGTCTGCAAGTCTCAGACTTCGTTAGGGAGTCGGTACTTACGTGTTCTGCTGGACTGTAGGCAGCAGGTCCATTTGGACCCTCGGAAGGCACCAGGGTGGAATGTGTGGAGCATCTTGGCGTTGGAGACACACGTCTTACGGATTGCAGATAACCACTGCTGCTGCTCATTCACATCCTGAACAAATCATTGTTTTTATAATTATTTTTTTTAAAAGTAAACTGACAACTAAATGAGCCAAATGTTAAAATGCCACATGTGAACTGCCACCATGAAATGAGAATGAATTTGGAAATTGTCTTTTTGCATTACTGTGGGGCAACGCCAACATTACATTTTTTTGAATTTTCTTTTTTTTGGGGGGGGGGGGGGGGGGGGGTTGAACCTCAATCTCCCTTGTCCAATTTTTGGTTCTATCAAATATTTTAAAACCTATTTTTATCCCGTTAAACAAGTTGACTGTTCATTCACTGTAATACAATAGTGGGATTTTTAAATGCCATATGTTCTCAAAAACCTAGCTTTACAACTTCAATGTAGTTGGTCGTCTATATTTCCATTACTGAACTCATATAATCACACCCAATGTTACCATTATAAAGCTCTTGTTCTGCAGACTCCAGAAATAAACATTTCAATTCTGAAAAAGTCCAACCTTATGCTCATTTTGCCGTGACTGATCACATAAAAAATTGCAAATCCAAAACTTTCATGACTGGAAATTGCAGCGTGACAATGTTACACTGCCTGAAATGAACACCAAGGGAATATTGATCGCACAGTGCTTGTATGCATGGGAGCACAAGGGCTATTCGATGGCGCTGTGCAATCGATAGGGCCGATTACAGGCATGTGTGGTTACACTTCTCCTCGCGTAATCTTTTACATTTGCAACTTTTGCAACTGCATCATGTTTCAAACCCTTGTCAATCTTGGATGATTTTTACAGTCTTTGGTAGCAAACAAAGTATCAAAATGTAACTAACAAAATTCTCCAAAGGTCTATATCAATGATGTCATCAAAAGATAATCAGATTCAAAATTATGACCCCTCCAATGAGTGTGGACTTTCTTTTTCTGTGGTGTTTATTTAACCACCACTGGAAACACAGCTTTCACTGTCAAAATTTAAAGTTTCCTTGCAAGATAATGGACTTGGTGCACAAATATTTCCTCAGCGGTTACGATTAAAGAGAAAGTTAGGCAAGTCTCAAATCTGACATGCGTGCATGTATGTTATGATGCTTGTGGCTGGATTATGCAGTGTGACATTAAGAGAGGGAAGGTTGCACGTGTCATTGCTCACATGCGCAGTGGGTAGGGCTTAATGGATCAGTCCGTTCAAACATGGACCGACTTTGCTTTGTGCCTTTTGATACAGAAACAATATTTCACAATTTTATTTGATTGACCCAATTCTGATTGAGTTACCTTTGCTTGCAGATAGAGTGTCTTCAGACCTCCTTGGGCATCATGGTATATGATCTGTATCAGGTGGTCTGACTGGAAGGCAGCCTCATCTACACACTCCACAATACACACCCACTCCATCAAGATGGTGTTACGCACCTTCAAAAATTCAGAGACAGACTTAAAAAAAAAGTCTGTCCTTGACATAGTGATTCTTCATATAATGCGATCTTTTACGATATATTCCTCAGTGGATACCTTCAGATTAGGCTGTGTATAGCATGTGATCTGATACACCGTGCCCTCTGGAGACGTGCACACAATAGGGAACAAAAGATTGTATACGTCTCTAAAGGGCAATTTCTATAGATGAATGAATACGTCTCCACAAGATTTTCACGACATAGATATATGGATTTTACTCAAAAACTAGGAATTTCCAATGTGGGTTGATCAGTCGCAAATGGAAGAGTTTTAGAAAAGGGATATTAAGTCCGAATTTCAGCCAAGGAAATAAGTTCTGGTTAAAATAAGAGCATTTTGAAACTTCTTTTTTCAAACTCGAAAACTTTACTACACAAGAACAAAGAAATGTCTCCACAAGAATACAAATTTCAGTATGCGTGCTCATCTATGTTTATGGGTAAAGGCGCACGCAACCCTTGTGCAGTGGTGTATTAAGAGAAGCCATGGGCCATCAGGCTCCCCCCCCCCAGGAAAAGTTAAAATGTCATCATAAAAAGTGTATCACAGCTCTGTTTTTTTTTTTTTTTGGTCCCAAATTCTAGTAGCCCTTGATGACACTGAGTAGCTTTCATTAAGCAATCTGTGGTCTGTCAGCAAATTTCTCAACACCCACCCCCCCCCCTTTCAAATCTGTCTGGCGGCACCCATGGCCTCACCTGGTCCTCGGCATGCTTGGCATAAGACAGGCTGTCGTAGCTCAGCCAGAAGTAACGTTTCTTGAAGGTGAAGGGCGTGATGACAGACACGTCCTCAGCTCGTCGCTTCTTCAGAAAACCCTCCTTGATGGTGACGGTGCGGTGGAAGATACTGCGCTTCTGGGCCTCGCGATTTGGAACTACACGTTGTGAAAAAATTGCAAGTTAGGATTCAAAGAATGAAATGAGGACTTCTTTGGAGGGAAATATTACAACTGATTGGAGTGCAACATGCGGCAGAAGTGGGACCAGCGCACCCTGAATTGACCTATCGCGGTAGAATCGCAGTAGAATCGAGTCAACGCAGCTTGTGAAATATATTTTCCAATTACATGATATACAAATGGACGTGGAACGTGCAAAGTCTGAGACCAACCAAACTTAATAATTAGTCTACAAAAATTCCATAGGGTTGTCTAAGGGGCGTGGCTAACTTGCAAATGGTCATAGGTCAATTATTGTTGGGCTACAAATAATTAAAAACTATTTCCAATACGGCCGATTTTGGGGTAAATTTTTCATTCAAAATGATATAACTTTTGTATTACTGGAAAAAAATGCAATTTGTGATAAAAGAAAGGAATGAGGAATCCAGGATCTTTTATTAGGAACTTTCCTGTGCAAGCCAATGCAGTGGTGGTCATAGAAATATTGTTAAGCAGCCACACATCTTGTAAGTTGTAGTCCAAACTAGGTACCACAAAAGACAGCTATAGTTACCCTTTAAAGTTGATAACACCTGTATGATAAAATCTCAGGGTTTCCAGATTTCAAAAGGGATTTTTGAAAAATCATGAACTGTGCATTAAAAAAAAATCCCGACAAATCGCACTTCTGTAAATCTTATGAAAATTCAGTTGTCATTAACAATTTTTGAATGCCCATATCAGCACAGCCCAGTACAGGAAACGCAAGCAAATTAAAATATTCACAATTTTACAGAAACCCTTCAATACAAAACGGAAAATACTGTAAACTGAAAAATATAATCATGCATAAATACCTGCTATGGCAAACTCATGCTTGGCACCTGAATGACAAATGTAAAAACAACGGGGAAATGAGGGAAATGATAAAAAGAAAAACCACAACAAACCATGGCATGGATGAACATGGGATCATGTAATACATGAAGAGAAACTACAATGACATTATACACAAAGTTACATACACAATGGTTGAATATTCAACTTGCTTTTCAATTGTAACCTGCCAGATTCCATGATTTTATCTTGATTTTAACATTTATATTTGTTTCACTGTATGAACCCTGCAACATTTTAAATGTACGCATAATGCGCGTTAGAGGGGAAAAATCCTATTCAGTCACTGTTTCATTAAATCGAACTTCCTATAGTGTCTTTTACTAAGTACTGGACCAAGTACAAATTTTGAAGCCATTTTTTTAGGTGGTATGCAGCACGGTCTCTGTGCACGCCGCACACTTTCTTAAAGACAAGGCGCGTGCATTTTGGTTAACCCATTGGTCGAAGGAGCTCTGAGTGCATGCTTACCACCTGAGCGCGAATCACACAAGCCTTGTACCACCTCAGAAAACAGCTGTTGTTGGATTGGTATGTACATATCCCTGTAAAACCTCATTAAACCTCATTAAACCTCAAATTGTGGGAGTCAGGTTGGCGTAGCGTACTTTCCTCGCCTAACTCCACCGCTGTGACTCGGGTTCGAATCCCGCCTGGGCCAACATGTGGATTGGGTTTTCAGTCCCTGCCTGATTCCGTGGGTTTCCCCAGAATATTCCTCTGGGCTTTTCCTTCCACCTCTAACACTGTAATTTCTTCTTATTGTCTCCTCTCCACAGGTTTCTTCAGGCTTGTGAGCTACATTGCCTAGGGCGCTTTTGAGATATCCTTGGTTTAATTACCAGAATGATTAATAATAATAATAATAATAAAGTTACCACCTGTTTAACTTCCCATTCTCCCCTCATTTAGTTTCCCTCTAAAAGACACTTGTTATGTTCAATTTGAGTTGCATGCCAAAATAGTCAAACAAACAGTAAAAGTAACTATAAATTACAGACTTTCAAATCATGACAACTGTCACAGCAATGTACATGCTTTCACAAATTAACTTGATTGATGCATTTCTGCACAAAGTTCCTTTTGCATTTTAACGAGAAATGCACACGATGAAACACAATGTAACACTTGGACTTAAATACAATACAACCATGCATATGATTCACTATAGACCAAACACCCAGATTGGATGACTTTACCTTAACAGATGAAACCTTGATAACATTTCAGAATTTTGTATTTCCCAATTTAAAAATTTCACCAATAAGGATAATTCTAGGGCATGGCATGATAATGCCGAATATTGAGAAAGTGCTTAGAGTGTGTTCTGTGAATAAAAATGCAGAGTGCTCTTGATAGGATACTTGAGCACAAAATGAATCAGGGCATCACTAGTTGGCATTGCTTTCGACCATTTTTTGACTAAATGTGACAAAAAGCATCTTTTAATCTTTAACGAGGGCGGATCCAGAACACAATTGGAGGGGGGGGGAGCAAAAAAACCCATTATGGTCCCCCAAAAAGTGGGTCCAAAAATTATGGCGAGGGTTTCGGGGCCCGCTTAAGGGCCTCAAAAAACTTTGGGATTCTAGATGCTCTGTTGTGCGATCCGAGGCAATTTCTGACCACTTTGACCAATTTCTATCTAGGAAAAGAGGGTGGTGTACACAGTGTTTTCTTCCTTTATTTCGGCGTCACTTAAAAAAAACAAATTGGGTAAGGTTTTTTTTTATGGGGGGGGGGGGGGGGCCCATGGCCCCGTTAGCATCCACCCTTGTAATGGGAATCCTTGGGAATTCCAGGTTTCACCTGCCTGGATACAGAGACTGAGATGGTTGTATGTATGATTGAGCTTCTTTGAACATCTATGGTATGGTCTGTGATTGTCTTACTCTCAGTTTCCTCGATATCAAGTAAAGTGTCTAGGAAGTCCTTGATGCGGCTGACGCTGTCTTGGATGAGAGGGCCGAGGGGTTGCATCCAGTGCTCCTTGCCGCTCTTGATACCCAGGTTGCCTATGGTCTGCACAGCCTGTTTCAATAGATTGGTGGAAATATTGGCATTGATTGTCGGAGGTTCACGAAAACCCAGCTTTGTCATTGTCTTCGTCTTCATCTCCATCCCAAGATTTGGAAACAAGGGCAAATACAAAGGGGTAGTTGGACTAGCAAACTGTCCCCCACAGCTTCTGACTGATGCATGTTAATTATGTATGATTAACATCATCAATAAACAATGTGCAAAACCTTGATTTGATTCATTGGTTCAGGACTTTGTAGTCTGTTTATGCATTGACTGCTATGTTGACACCTTATCCCCACCCCTCCCCTGGAAAGTCTTGGACATCGGAATCTCAGCCACTGGGAAATCCTAGATCAGCCACTGACAGAAATCCTGCTACATTTTAACCCAATGAAATTAATCAAGCATTGGCCTCATGCGACAAAATTTTGATGCATATCAATGTATGTCATTTATATAAGTCAAGCCACACTGACCATGTTTTTAGTATAGATTTTTGTGTTTTTTTGGTTCCAATTTTTTTTATGATCAACCCTATATCTTTTTATTTTACAGACAAATTATGTAATCAATCAAACTGGGTTGAAGTTCAACCATTTATTCAGAGAATTCCTCAAATTTTGTGAAAATTATGGAAATTTGTTAGCTTCCTAAATTTGTTTGTAGCCTGAATATGTTTTGTCCTTTGAGGAAAATCACCAACACAAAGTCATCCAAAGAAACTTCCCCATAAATGATTTTAGCACCCCTTACATGTAGTTTCTGGTCTTACAATGTCTGGCTAGAAGTTGTGTTCCTTCCAACGCCAGGATTTTCAAAGTTGAATTTTTATTACATGATTTTTTGATTCCGTCTCTTATACAGTGCAAGACCAAAATTGGATGACAAGTCTTCCTGCGTTCTTACCTTGGCAAGGAGTGTCAGTGTCCTTCCGACATATTTGTCTGGATGCTGATCCCTGAGGAAGAAGAGCTTGGGAGACAGGATGGCTGGAGCAAAGAACCGCAGGAAGAGGAAACCAGACAGGCACAGATACTTGCATTCCTGAGACAACCAGAGGTACCATGAGCTTGGTGAATGTGTCTAGAAATCGTCAGGGATCTTAAAAGTGGGAGCATGCTTATATCTTGAATGGTTTTAGGGTTTCCGAAACTTTATGAAAGCAAAATTCTCTTGAGTTTTCTATGAGTATTTCCCTGAGAATTTCAAAAAATTGATAAGAAAAAGTTTTTGACGAGATTGATTGGAAGTCAACAGGTGGTTACAGGTACGTGTGGCACAGCCAATTGTTATTTTGGAGAGATGTGAATTGTTCACACTGCATAAACACTAAAAGCATCCATGTTTGTTTTACATACCTAGTGTGGACATTCCTTTGTTTTCGTGTAGTTAAGAAAAACCAGTGAAAAAACTCATTTTGCTCAAACTGTTAAAACTCTTTCAACCCATTTTCCCCCTATGATTCCCTTTAGTGTTTCTCTTCATTTGCCACGGATAAACCTAACCCAAAAATGCCTCTAAAGTTGTTTTCCAGAGAGGGGAAAACACTGTGTGGACGTGGGCAAGTCCACACAACGTCGCTGCTACCTGGTTAATGTGAACATCTTTTGTTCAGAAGTCAACACAGTGAATGTAATACTTGCCCACCATAGTCACAACTTGAACACTGGCACAAGACACACATAATTATGAGATACTGGCGAAAACCTGTTCCTTCTGGGTCACTGTCAATTTCTCTGAGTTTTCCCAGATTTTTGTTTTTCCCAAATTCCATGAGTTTTTTCCAAATTCCCTGAATTTTCCCGACTGGAAAAATAGAAAACTAATTTTCAAGGTTTTCCCTGATTTTCAGAGTAGCTGGGAACAGAGTGGCTGGGCAAATGCAATTTGCATTAAAACAAATGGCAAAAAAACGTTTAAATAAATTGAATAAACCAAGATATTACCGAGTCGTTATCAGGGAATTTGCTCTCCACTCTCTGTCTGAGCTGCTTGAGAGCCATCCTGAGGATGGGAGGACATCGGTCGACCGATACCAAGATGCAGTTGACGATGGAGGCCAGATACTCTGTGATTATTGTCGCGCTGTGTTCAAGGAGGTAGCCCTCAGAGCGATTCTTCATGCTCACTCGTCTGCAACAAAGTATTTTATTTCATTGGGACACATTCAAAAGGATGACCTCTCTGGTGTCTTTATGTACGTCTCTAATTACTAAGTTGAATTGAAGAGATCTATGGGAGTAGGATTTTAACCTGCCACCTCTTGATTACTGCTCCAGTGCTCTACCAATTAAGCTATCCAACCCTATGTTGGCAGGTCTCTCCCCACCTCCCTAATTTCTGAATATCTTTGTTTACGACCGCTTGTCAGACACCATCCAGTATATAGAGAGTTTCTTTCCAAAACGCGATATATCCACTTCAAAAAAAGTGAGAAAATAAAATTTTAAAGAATAAAAACAATACAACAGCTATTATAAGATGGAATGTTTGCGTCGGGGTGATATAAATCAAATTAGGTTTTGCCCTTCATAAATCAAATTAGGTTTTGTCCCACCCGAGTGATTTTTTCCAACTTTCACTCGGGAGGTAACACACTGAGTATACAGTGTTCAAACGTCGGTGAAGGGCAAAACCTAATTTGATTAATACAACAGCTGTTTCTAAATTTCATTTTTCACCTTATTATATTCTAAGGTTTTGTCTAAGTATATAACAACCATTAAAATTGACCTTGGCAGCCTGTCTAAGTATATAACAACCATTAATACTGACCTTGGGCAGCCTGTCTAAGTATATAACAACCATTAATATTGACCTTGGGCAGCCTGTCTAAGTATACAACAACCATCGATATTGACCTTGGGCAGCTTATATAACAACGATTAATATTGACCTTGGGCAGCCTGTCTAAGTATATAACAACCGTTAATATTGACCTTGGGCAGCCTGACATGTGATAGAAGTGACAATCTAGTGAGCCTAGATTGGTCATTGTCTAGGTTTCTGACAATGAGTACATGCTGAAAATGGACATCCGATTTGGACACACCCTTACCTTCTAATACTGCCCACTTTACAAGGGTCCAGCTCCACGTGTTTCTTCTCCTCATAGATAGTGTCTACAATGGGCTGTAGGGTCTCCAGTAGGTACGGCATACCCACCAGCTTCATGAACTGATCAAAGCATTTGGTGGCCAGCGAGTTGCCTCGGAAGAGAGTGTTGATATCGGCTGGACAGAATGAAAACAAATTAAATTGATGTTTATTATTAAATCTTGTTCCAAAAAAGGCATATCCGCTTTGAGTGATCCCCTTTTGAAATTTGCCAGATTTGCAGCATTGTCGATGTTAATAGCATAATGACTTTGAGAGTGATCCCTGGCCAGATGGCATATGTGACTGGCTCTACAAAGAAACAGTAAGTCACGCTGAGCATATTGTGTAATGGCCCGCTCAACATTGAGAAGGGTGAAAATTTCGTCAAAATGTGATTTTCATTTTTTGTCATGAATGACATCTTTAATATACCTACAGTTTCAGGTTTCATTCACAAAAATGTTGATATAAAAACAAAAGGGAAGAAACAACCATTTTGTGCGCATCGTTCTGTTGTTCTACAACAAAGCCAGCTATTTCAAAGCCTGTTTTCTCAGTTATACAATTCGAACTCCAAGGAAGTAATTAATATGCAAATATGTCATATCTCCAGAACGGGAGGGGCTATGGAGCTCTATTTTATACCAAATGAAAGCTTACATTGTGGGCTTTCTAACCGTGTATATAACTCAATTTTTTGTGACTTAATACCCTTTTTGTGGAGCCGGTCACATATACGGGTTTAATTCGTCTTCTGACACTGAAAGCTACTGATACTGACATAATGGGGAACTGCCAACATAGGGCTAGATAGCTCAGTTGGTAGTGCACTGGTATGGTAATCCGGATGGTTGCAGGTTCAAATCCCCGCTCCTGTCAACTTCTTTGTTCAACATTTCAATCTTATTAATGACTTTTTGTTTATCTTCTGAAAGAAGCACATCATTACACCATCTACTACAAGCCACTATATTTATAAAGTTTAATGCAGGACAAGAGAGTTATGTTCTTCCAAAAGGAAATATATTTATGATAATGTTACAGATCATTCTCCTTGTCTTTAACTTAATATTTTTTCATGTGTAATATAATATAATAAAAAAACGTGTTGTAGTACTCGTACTCGGTACTCGTTCTCGAGTACTACTTGAGTACTTTTTTTTTTTTAGAGTACTTGTACTCGTACTCGAATGTCAAAGTAGTCGAGCCCGAAATGACGGTACTCGTACTCAGGTAGCAAAGTACTCATACTTGACTTGTCAAAATTGTACTCGATCATCAAAGTACCCGTACTCGAAAAGCAGTACTCGAAAAAAAAAATGGTATAGCTTGACTGACCACGGCCGTATTTTTCTGATACTGAAATGGTTGATAGCTGGCGGAGAAAGCGAAATTTCCTGGTTTTCCTCTGGGCACGTCCGGACAAACCCAGTTAACAGCTAGCCGTAAGTGGGTCTGTATATTGGTCTGACTGGGCCTGGGCCAATTACGCACAATGAACCATTTGCCGTATGGCCGTATTCGGAAATAGAAGTACTCATACTGTCTCGTACTCCTACTTGTACTCGTACTCAGAAGTACAAGTACTCGTACTCACACTCGGAAGTAAAAGTACTCATACTCGGTAACCTAAGTACTCGGCAGTACTCGTTACTCGGAAAAAAATACTCTACTACATCACTGTACAAAAAGACTCGATTTTGTTTTTGAATATTATGCTGAAGCCTTAACATTCATTGTCAATGCTTTCTGGCTTTGTTCACTTAGAATCTTCCAAGTTTGTGTCAGTAATTTTTTAACTTTAAAATTGCTCAACTGCAACATCTACAAGAATATCTACATGTATTTCTGGACACAGATTGAAACTTTTTAAAATGTAATAAACATACATAAATGCGGATGGAATATAAGTCGGAATTTTACAACGCAAACACACACATTCTTGCTGATACAGTGCACACGTCTTCTAGTTCTACCAATCATCAAGTATATTCAGGTTCAAAGTCTTCTGTAATCGTTAACACTGATAACCTACATGTACAAATATTCTGTGTTTGAACATTAGCATTTGTAACCATGGATTCTGTTAAAGGGAATATACATCATTTGCTTTTGCTGTAATTTTCAGAAATGGATGGAATTGGGGGATTGGAAATATAAAGCAAATATAGTTACACTGACTTTTTGGAGGTTTTGGGTTCGAAAATGCTATAAAAACCAAGAAAAATGATCATTTACCTGTATAGTCTGGTTCCCTGACTCCATATAAGAAGAAACAGAGCAGTTTACATACATTGGGGAATTGTAAGGTCAGGGAACCAGTCTAGCTGGCTCGTACCCGTTCATAGGTTTGTAATCGATTGCAAACAAGTGCAATAGTCAATTGGGGCCAGTATTTGAAAAAAAAAGCCAGTTGTTTCCAACGCTGATCGGCCGATCAGCGTTGGAAATTGATACAAAAATACCACTTTTCTTGAAAATGACAGTATACCAGGTGCCATAATTTTACAGGATGCTTTAGACTGTCATTTACCAACGTCCTATTAAGGTATTTCGCAAAACTTGGTAGTTTTATTTTTCGATGTTTGCAAATGTTGTATATTCCCTTTAATATCAACACCACTCCAACTTCAACAAAATTAAAAAAAAAATAACTGCTGGTTCAATAATCCCTTATCCATGTCAACAGTCTGTAGGTCACACACACTGAGAAGGTCATAGCCTGCTCAAATCATGTGATCTCCTCATCATGCCTAAATAAACAGGGAAGTATACCATTTGCCGCTTTCGCACGCAGTCACCGACATATCGCCATTTTATCATATAACTCAACGTAATGTTCAGTGTTTCATCCGAGACTAACCATCAGAAGAACAATTGTTTCTACATACTAAGTAAGTTCCTTAACAGCTAAGGACAAATATGATTCTTTAAGTGTTTATTTGTCATCAAAGTTGTGTGTGAACCACCAGTTGGGACAGCTTTAAACACTAAAGGAATGTTTGTTGAAAAATTCGGAATCAGAAAGTATATTTATTATATATGAAACATTTAAGCTTCTGTCGTTGTGAAGCCTGGACTTACTGCATGATAAGTTGTTTTGTCAAGTTCTTCAATGGCAACAATTGGAAAGATTTCCCATCAGAGGGCCTAGGTCTGCCCTTACTTTTTCCATGCAAACCTGCTCATCTTCCTCTAACAGCGCATAACCATGCACACAGTTTCAGTGTACCACAGGTCCATCCCCCCCCCCCTTTTTTGGGGGTGACGACATGATGACGTGACAAAATCTATAACATCTTCTGACCAGGGTACAAGTTCATACCAGGTTTTATTACCATCCCGTGAATCGTTTGGAAGAAATCTTGCTTTGTTTTGACTTGGGGCTCATTTCTATATTTTGAATGCACCTAATTTTGACCTCTTCGTAGCCCAGGAAGGAAAGGTCAGACGACTTTGACTTTGGGAATCAAATTGTTGATCCATGAACAGTCCATTAGTTCACATAGTATGATCATGATGGAACATTTTGTTCACAAGTTACAAAACACACAAAAAATTGTCATACTTTGAACCAAACCCCCCCCCCAAAAAAGCTCGTACTTTGATACCTGATGACGTCATCATGATGTCAGAGTAATTTGCACCACTCGGGATGAGGGTTGATATATGTTGAAAGTTACAAGTTCACAACATTAACTGTTTAGGAGAAAACTCGCAGAGAACTATTGTCCGGAATAAAAGAAGAAGTAAGATTAATATGTACCAAAAGAGTGACCAGGATGCTCCCGATCACTCAATTAATGATCGCCATCATACAATTCAATGTAGAGTTGTGCACTTTTATTTCAAGGTTATAACAGGTGGTTTTTTGTGTAATTTATTCAGTTTAAGACGTCACTAAGAAAGAAAGATGGCATCAAGACAGCCTGATGTCACAGTTCAATCTGTGTTGGATAAGATCAGTCGAGATCATCTGGAATGTCCTATTTGCTCCGACCGTTTCACTGAGCCTAAGGTGCTTGACTGTCTGCACAGTTTTTGCCAGGAATGTCTAAAAGAAGTCAGACAGCAGCAAGATCCACAAGATCCAGAACTTAAGTGTCCCATCTGCAGACGTGAAACCATACTAAAGGGAGACGTTTCTGATTTGCCAAGTGACTTCAAACTGAGCACCTTGGTGGATGAGGTCAACGTCCATGAGAAGCTACTTGAAGGTCAAAGGTCAGAGATCCAATGTCAAGCCTGTGATGAAGAGAATCCGGCGGTGTCAAGATGCATGGACTGTGATCATTTTCTCTGCAAAGAGTGCCAAGCAGGACATGGGCGTTTTAAAGTAATGAAATCGCATCAAATCTACACACTGGCCCAGCTTCAATCATCAGGAGAGGTAACTTACAAGAGTAAGATTAGTGAGTACACTCCAAAATGTGGCAAGCATTCCGATCAAAATCTTAACATTTACTGTAACACATGTGAGAAGTTGGTATGCACAACTTGTGCTTTTCTAGACCATGAGAAACACTCTTGTGTTGATCTTCCCGAAGCTGTTGATAAGCGCAAACAAGATGTTGCTAGAATGTCTGTAAAAGCTGAACAGAACAAAGCAAAACTGAAAACAAACATAAGTAAAGTAGATGACAAGTACAGAAAGCTGAATGCCATGCATGCAGACACCACCAAGAAAATCTCCATTAAGGCTGACAAGGAGGTAGCTAGAATCACGGAGGAGATTTCAAAGATCAGAGAGGAAGAGCAGAAACTGAAGCAAGAGGCAGATACAATCTTCAAAGACAGAGCCAAGACATTGGAAACTGCTCGTGCCACAAAAAACAGTCGTCTGACTCAGACTGAGAAAAAACTGGATGAGGTGAACCAATTTGTCACTCAAGCAAGTTGCTATGAGATTCTGGATTTCAAACCTAAACTCATGCACAACCTGGAAGAACTGACTGAGGAACACTCTGAGAAAGGGACAGACAGTTGGCCTTCCATTATGGATTTTGAGGAAGGTACTGGGAGGTCACTTGGGAGACTAGTGCTGGCAGATACACAAATACCCAGCTCAGGTGCCACAGCTGAGACTTCACAGACACCTGTAAGATGGGAGCTGAAAAGACAAATGAAGACATTTGGACCAACAAAGAAACATTTGTCAATGTTGATGAAGTTGCAGCATTCTCTAACAACGAAATTGTCACGTTGGACAAGGGGCATAACAAAGTGATTACTTTCTTAACAAATGACTACCTCAAGTCTGATATAATTCCACAAGAACTCCAATTTGCAGGTCTTACTGAACCAACTCATGTTTCAGTTAACAAGGCTGATGAAATCATCGTCCTTGACAAACCTGCTGTCAAGATTTTCAAGAAGGGTGCGCAGTACTGCCTCCATCAATTCCTACCAGGTGGGAAGACAGGCAGCACCCCAACCTGCCTTGCAGTGGATGGTGGGGATGTGATAGCAGTGGGTTATGAGAAAGAAGAAGAGATCTCACTGCACAAGAGAGATGGATCCCTCATCAGGAGAATACCTGCTCCAATGATTGGGTTAAATTTGGCTATCTACAAGCAGCAGCTTTTCTACACTTGCAATGGAGATGACAAAAGACTTCTATCGTCAGTTGACAGCTATGGTCACATGGTCTTTGCAGTTGATATTCCCAGCAATATTCAAGGGAAGTTTTATGCTAGTGGTTTGTGTTGCAACAACGATGGCAACATCTACATTGCTGTTTATGGAAATACACATGGTGAAATTCATCATTTCAGTCGTAATGGACATTACATTGGCCGTGTCCTCAGTGAATGTGGTTGTCCATGTGACGTCACATGTACACCAGCTGGAGAGCTGGCTGTGGCAGCAGAAGAAAGTGTCAAAGTCTATCATCGAGTGTAAAAATGGACAATGAATGTCAAAATGACAACACAACACAAAGAACTGATACAAACAATAGCCATTTGTTCCACAAATACAGTTAACAAAATAATTGTTAAAACGGTGCTGTGTTAATGGACATCACACTCAAGATATCTGAGTTTGTGATGGCAGAAATGGACTGGGTTAAAGTCTATCATATGGGTTTAAATTATCATCAGATAATCAAAGAAAAATGACTGCATATCTGAAACAATGATCTAGTTGTAATGTGCACATATTTGAAGATGACAAAGTACATGTGAATTCGATCAGTTTACCTTAATAACCCCAAACATAGCAAATGATCCTCAGAAGTCCACCGGGCAGTTTTGGAGGATTGAAGATGAATGCAACATAGAATTTTGGATTGTAGAGGATTAAGGGCACATAGACGTTCAGTACCAGTTGATTTTGGAGGATTGAGGATGAATGGTGTTATGAAGAAGAGGAGGATTTTGGAGGATTGAGGACAGCATTTCGTACACACACAAAAATTTCAAAAAAAAAAAAATCCCTACCTGCCTACCCTATTTTCGAATGCCATTTGATCGGAAGCGGAAACTCTTTTTTTTGGCCTTATAATAAAAATAGTTTAAGAAGCTACAAATATCAGTTTAAAATGTGTGAGAGCAATGTCAAAACTGTATGTTTTGTAGATATGCAGATTTTTTTTCCCATGAAGCTTTTTACAAAAACAAGCAAACAAACAAACAAAACAAAATGAATAAATGAAACTCTGCAACGAAAACGCAGTTTGGACCCTTAATCTCCTGGATCTGTACCAGTAATATCTGTAAGTTTGTGAGACGTGTGAGTCTAGGTATAAATGCTTTAAGTAAATATGGATTTTCAGCTTGCAAATAGACGAATGAGAAAAAAATGGAAACATCTTTTGAATTAATTTTGTACCTTGCATGTAGTAAGTTTGAAGATGTACTGTCCGTACTATTTTTGAGTTTCACCCCGAAAAAATAGAGCTTAGTTTAATGTTTCTATTTTTCTTCAGGTATAAAAGTCATCCACTTTTGAATTTGACATCAACTGAAAATACAGTTTAATTCAGTTACGGACAATTTCATTGCAAAATTTTGAATTATCATTAATTTAGCTCTGGAAGGGTAGACTGGATCCCGCCTCCATATAGAATAGATAATGTGGGGATTGGTTACCAGTCTACTCACATAATGGATCTGTTTGTGTGCAACAGCAACCCAAAATAAAAGGTTTCTTTAAGGGTCGCAAATGCCCAAAACTGAAGAAGAAAATAATAACATTCTTTTCTTTGGTAAAAATAAACACTTAAAGCTCAAAGTTCATTGGGACAGATTAAAATTGAACAGTACACTTACTTGGTATACTTACAAGTATACCAAGTACGTGTGTTGAATACTAGTGTTAAACAACTGTACAAAATAATAATTACATTTCTAGAAAGGATGAAAGCCCATCCTTACTGCCTGAGATAAACTATTACGACCCAAGTATAGCAATGGGCCCAACTAGAGTTCGGACATTCTCGAACTACATGGTGCAAAATATCCCAACTGTAAGTGGGATTGCCTAAATTATAGTTGGGATGATGCTATACTTGGGTGAAAAAATTGAATTCAAAGCAAATTATTGTAACGATTTTAGAAGTCAATTGTATCACTGAGGTGTAGTTTTAAGAAGAGTCTGGAATTATGGTAGAATGATAATTTTACTACACAAGATCTCCATGTAAGCTTTCCTTATTATTTCTAACGCTGGAAGCATTGACACATTTCATTAAAAAAAATATATAAGTCTCTAGACTCTTGATTGTTGAAGTCTGTTAAAAGTATGAGATCATTTTGTTGAATCACTTGTTGAGTAAGCAGTTTATTCGCATAAAACTTCATACTCTTGTATTGGCCCCCAAGAAGGTGAGAGAAACACATGCAATCTGTTTGCCAATCTTCTCTGCCTTCTCTGTTTCAAGAGCTCATCAGGCCCCCCCCCCGGCTCTGACTTAATGAAATTAAAATTATAATAATTATAGTGATAACTAGAGGTTGTAGGAACAACCACACGGTGTTGGGCCGTTGTTGATGTTGACGTTGATTGTTGATGTTGATTGTTGATGTTGATGGTTAAAAAATAGCGCGTGTAGTAAATATACAGAGGATAGTTAAAAAGAGTCAGGTGACGATCTGCACGCGCGTTTGCTGCTGTACTGTTAACTTATCAAGTACAATCGTTACAAAACCCATTCAAAGTAAAGGTCGCACACCATTGGCGCAATACAACATATTGCGCATGTTTTTGGGAAAAAAGCGCCCAATTAAAAAAAAAAGCGCAAAACTGGGCACTTTGCCAGCCCAATTTTTGAGTATCATTTGACATCATCAGGAGTCAAAACTGTGCTTGTGTTAAGAAGTTGTCATATAAACGTGTACAAAACACTGGTAAACACTTAAAATACATTGGTCCATCAAACAGCCGTTACATGTAGCTCAATAGTTCACATACAACAGTCGTAAAACCAGACACTCACGAAGCGAGCACGGGGAATTCCCTTTTGTACACAATCATAGCACACTGTTTTGCAGGAATTCCCCTTTGTAGGGAATCATCCCCATTTGCTGTACACACAATGTACCTGGCATTAAAGGGGCACTAGCTCCTGAAATCCCTGAAAATGTTATGTTTTGGATTGTTTACTTAGCCTATTTCAAACATCTGGTTGAAAGGAAACCAACCTAATGTCTTACCGTTCCCGAGAAAAGACGAAAAAAACCCGCTTGTTTACATCGGACACGACGGATTACGAATACATTTTTCGTGTCATTCTCATGTACGCTATACACGTTGTGTGTCTCGGGAAATAGCATCCAAACAGCTCAAATTTATGGGGTCGCAAAAGCAAGGGCGGATCCAGAACACAATTTTTTTGGGGGCCCAAAATGGGTCAAAAAATTACGGTGTGGGGTTCGGGGCCCGCTTAAGGGCCCCGAAAATTGTTTGGATTCTAGATGCTCTGTGGTGCAATCTGAGGCAATTTCTGACCACTTTAACCAATGTTTTTTTGGAGGAAAAGATGGTGGTGTACTCATTGCCTGCCTTTATTGCGATGTCACATGAAAAAAAAAAAAAATGGTTTCATTTTGGGGGGGGGGGGGGGGGCCATGGCCCCCTTTGGCCCCCCCCCCCTGGATCCGCCCTTGCACAAAAGTGGACCCCGAAATTCGTTCTCGCATGCATAATACAGGAATAACACAAAAACGTCCAGTTTTGAAAAGATAGTTGTGTATGGATGTTTATATCCTACTTTGAAAAGTTATTTCTGATTATCATCATCTCGTTCAAAGCGCGTTTTGTAGCCCAATTGGGCTGTTCCAGGACCTAGTGTCCCTTTAAATGAACGTTTCAAGGTGTAGGCATTTTCAACTACAAATTTCAAGGGGGCTGCAGGACATCTCCAAGTTTACTTATTGAAACGAAACTTTGGAAAGTTTTAGACCTATTATTAAAGTGAAAACAGTTCTGGAAACGAATTGTGTCTTGGAGAGTAAAAAAAATTCTTACATTAACAATAGGTGTTGGGCTCACGACCCAACACCTAATACATGTAATAACCTATATGTCTGCCTGTCTGCCACACTCAGACACAGAGGCGTAGCCAGTCGGGGGTATTTGCACACTATTGTCCTATAGGGTGCATGATGGTCAGATTTGAACAGCGTCCCCATCGGAAGATGGTACCAGCCAGCCCCCCCCCCCCCCCCTTTTGATTTTACAGAAGGCATGTTGCTTTCATTTCAGTACTGATTTGATAAAAATAATTCTGGGGGCTGACAGGAAGGAACACATCATTACACATTCTGTCTACCACATGCCACCATATTTATAGCATTTTCAGGGCAAATTGTTTTCTTCTTGCAAAAAGGAAATATATTTATAATAAATGTTACAGATCATTCTCCTTGTCTTTGACTTTATATGTTTAATTTGTGTCTTGTAAATAACAAAAAGACTTCATTTTATTTTTAAATGTTACAGAAGCCTTGACGTTCATCGTTAATGCTTTTTGGCTTTGTTCATATGGAACTTTACAAAATGTCTGAAACCTATCCGGATGTGTATGTTGGAACAAACAGCCCAACAACCCCAACAAACAAACAACCCAACAATTCTGCATGCTTATACGGTATATAGTCCTCTACCGATCATCAAGACTATTTGAGAAGTTCAAAGTCTTCTGTAATCGTTAACACTGATAACCTACACGTACAAATATTCTGAGTGTGAACATTAGCATTTGCAACCATGGATTCTGTTAATATTTAAACACCACTCCAACTTCATAACAATATTATTTTTTCAATAATCGATTGTACAATAATTAAACCCTTGTCCATGATACAGAAAAGATCACAGCCTCCTCAAGTCATGTGATCTCCTCATGCCTAAAAATAGAAAAGGGAGTGTACAATTTGCCACGTAGTCACTGACATACCGCCATTTTATATTCAACACAACAGTGTTTCATCCAAGACTAACCATCAGAAGAACAACTTTACCTGCATATAATAAAGTAAGTTCCTTATATAACAGCCATGGACAACTATGATTCTTCTTGTTTAGTGATGTGAAATTTTCAATTGTGTGCGAACCACCAGTTGGGACAGCATTTAAGGAATGATTGTTGAAATATTCAGAAGCAGAAAGTATATTTGTCATACATGAGACTCTTAAGCTTCTGTCATGAAGCCTGGATTTATTGCATGGTTTAAGTTCTTTTGTCAAGTTGTTTACTGCCAACAAATGTAAAGATTTCACGTCTGAGGGCCTGGGTCGGGCTTTTATTTTTATAGGCAAACCTATTCATCTCCCTCTAACTGTGCTTTGTCTTGTGCTACATGGATATATAATTATACACTCAGTGTTCCCTCTCCCCCCCCCCCCCCCACACACACACACATTTCCACTACACCACAGGTCCCCCTTTAAAACAAATGATTTTGCCCCCTCCCCCAACAACAAATGTAACAATTATCGCGCACAAATTATACATGTACATATACTGAATTTATGACAATCAGTTTGGGATTGTTTGGGGGCTGGGGGCTACAGTAATTAATCCAGAAGATGAGCGCAGATGACTATTTTTTAAATTATCACCTTCTTATCCTCAACAGAAAATGTGAATAAAAAGAGAAAAAGCAAAAGGGCAAAAAGAGCCCCATAGCTCTGGCATTACGGATCCATATAAAAATAATCTTTTTTGTTCCAGACTTTTACAAATTCTTTCAAATTAAATTTGTATCAAGTTGAATGGATAATAATCATGAACCAATGCAAAGATATGCCTTGTATAAAATAAAATGACATGCATTTTTTGGGGGTTTGAATCATAGATTTCGTAGGTTTTCTTTAATGGTATTACAAAGGAGTTCATTGTCAAGCTTAGTTTTCCAATTTACAGTCATACTAATGTCAATTGTAGAGTTTTGCACTTCCTATCAAGGCAGTGATACACATGTGTCTTTTTTTTGTTTTATTCAGTTGTTGAACGTCACCAGGAAAGAAAGATGGCAGCAAGACAACCTGATGTCACAGTTCAATCTGTGTTGGGTAAGATCAGTCGACATCATCTGGAATGTCCCATTTGCAAAGACCGTTTCACTGAGCCTAAGGTACTTGACTGTCTGCACAGTTTTTGTCAGGAATGTCTCAAAGAAGTCAAACAGAGTCAACGTTCACAAGATCAAAAGCTTGTGTGTCCTCTCTGCAGATTAGAAACCATACTAAAGGGAGACGTTTCTGATTTGCCAAGTGACTTCAAACTGACCGCCTTGGTGGATGAGGTCAACGTCTACGAAAAGCTACTTGAGGGTCAAAGGTCAGACATTAAATGTCAAGCCTGTGATGAAGAGAATCAGGCTGTGTCAAGATGCATGGACTGTGATCATTTTCTCTGCAAAGAATGCCAAGTGGCACACAGGCGTTTTTCTTCAATGAAATCACATCAAATCTACACACTGGCCCAGCTTCAATCAGGAGAGGTAACTTACAAGAGTAAGATTAGAGAGTACACTCCAAAATGTGGCAAGCATTCCGATCAAAATCTCACTATTTACTGCAACACATGTGAAAAGTTGGTATGCACAACTTGTGCTATTGTAGACCATGAGAAACACTCTCGTGTTGATCTACCAGAAGCTGTCGATAAGTGCAAACAAGATGTTGCTAGAATGTCTGTACAAGCTGAACAGAACAAAGCAAAACTGAAAACAGACATAAGTGAAGTAGATGACAAGGACAGAAAGCTGAAGGCCATGTATGCAGACACCACCAAGAAAATCTCCAGTAAGGCTGACAAGGAGGTAGCTAGAATTGAAGAGGAGATTGCAAGGATCAGAGAGGAAGAGCGGAAACTGAAGCAAGAGGCAGACACCATCTTCAATGACAGAGCCAAGCCATTGAAAACTCTTCTTGCCACAAACAGCAGTCGTCTAACCAAGACTGAGAAAAAAGTGGATGAGGTTACACACTTTGTGACTCTAGAAAGTTGCTATGAGATTCTGGATTTCAAGCCTAAACTCATGAATAAGTTGGAAGAATCGATTGAAGAACAAACTGATGACGGGCTGGACAGTTTGTCCCCCATTATGGACTTTGAGGAAGGCACTGGGATGTCACTTGGGAGACTTGTGCTGGAAAATACACAAATACCTAGCTCACAGGGACCCGTAAAATGGGAGCTAAAAAGACAGAAAAAGGCATCTGAACTGAAAAACAAATTATTTCTTGGCAATGTTGATGGAATTGCAGCATTCTCTAACAATGAAGTTATTGCATTAGTCATGCGGCATAAGATGCTTATCACTTTCTCAACTGACCTCCAGTCTGGTGCAAAAGAACTCAAACTTCCAGGTCTTAATAAACCAACCCATGTTTCAGTTAACAGGGATGATGAGATCATTGTTCTTGACAAACCTGCTGTCAAGATCTTCAAGAAGGGTGAGCAGTCCTGCTTCCATCACGATCAGTTCCTACCAGGTGGGGAGACAGGCAGCAACCCAACCTGCCTTGCAGTGGATGGTGGGGATGTGATAGCAGTGGGATATGAGGAAGAAGAAGAGATCTCACTGCACAAGAGAGATGGATCCCTCATCAGGAGAATACCTGCTCCAAAGATTGGATCAAAATTGACAATCTATAGGCAGCAGCTTTTCTACCTTCATACAGGAATCTCTGACAAGCTTGCACTCACATCAATTGACAGCCATGGTAGCAAGGTCTTTTCATTTGATATTCCATGTAATTTTTTGGAAAAATCTGTCTGGAAAGCTAATTGTTTGTGTTGTGACAAAGATGGCAACATCTATGTAGTTTTACAAGGGTTGGGTACTTTGGTTTATTCATCACAACGTGTAATTAAGCATTTCAGTCATGATGGACGGTACATTGGCGATATCATCAATGAACGTGGTTTTATTACACGTCACATCACATGTACACCAGCCAGAGAGCTGGTTTTGGCAAGTAATAGGGGTAGTGTTAAAGTCTATCACCAAGTGTAAATTGACAATGAATGTCAAAATAACAACACAAAGAACTCATACAAACAATAGCCATTTCTTCCAAACATACAGTTTACAAATTATTCGAGATTATGTGTGCCATTGTATCAATGTGTTTATTCAATAGGCCTTATTCACAAGTCGGCCATATTTACTTGAATTTAGTGAGGTAAAATCTTCATTTTTGGAACTTGTGAAGAGAAATGAAAGCAATATTACATAGATTTAATGACAAATTAATACCAGTCCGCCCTCATAAAATAATTTAAAGTTTGTGACATATGTGATGACATATACCCTAATGTTTTAAGCCACATTTTAAACAAAGTTGAGAGTGAGGGTAAAATGCATACATAGTCTGGCACCAATCCATTAAACAGTTCACAATTTATAAAATACATTCAGGGAACACGTACAAAAATATAAATATAAGGTCTATATATGGACATCATACTCAAGATATCTGAGCTGCAAACTGTACATACCATACCAGGAGTTTGTTTGCACAGTATTGATCCAGATCTAGACATTCTGTATCAATATACTCATTACATTTACATATTCTCAGCACTGACATATTTTTGGCTCCTAAAAACAATTAACATCTATTTTTACACGGGAGTGGATTTAATTTCCCTAATGGGGCATAACTTTATGTACAAACATATGTACATGCATGTGAACTGTACGTTTATTAGTCCATTCTCTCTAACCATTTCACTTCTGCTAATCTGTCAGGCAATCAAGTTTGTAAATACTCGAAGTCCATTGAAAGTATGAGATCATTTTGTGCAATCACTTATTGAGCAGGCAGTTTATTTGTGTGAAACTTTGAACTCTTCAATCAATTCTAGAACTTTGTATCCATGTCTTTCCAATCAAAGACACTGGCTAAGATTTAATTCAAAATCATATTATCCATAAGCCAGAGAATGAAAGTGTTATCAGATTTTGGTAGAGAATTTTAAATGTAATGCAAGCAAAGATCCAGGAATTTAAAATATGGGGGTCAGAATCCACTCTGGGGAATGAGCTGTGTTTATTTGTCCTTAGGATGCTACCAGTATTAGTGGCCTTATTTAACTTAATATCATAAAACAAAAAACAAAAATGGAGTTAGGACCCCCTTATCTCCTGGATCTGTACCTGCAATAGCTGTAAGTTTGTAGATGTGATACCTGTGAGTCTATGTAGAATGTGTAAGTAAATATGTTATCTTATGTTATTGACACCGTCTTAACTATGGTTGGTGCAATCCAAACTATTTTTAGGACGATCACAACTATTATTGGGATTGTCTCAATTACAGTTGGGACGATGATTTAACTTGGGTGCAACAAGATGAGTTAAATTAAAGTGAATTATTGTAACTTTTTTACTAGTTGAGTTTATCACTGAATTGTATGAAGCCGGGAAGGGACAGGGTGGAATTTTTTTTTGTCATTTACTAATTCATTCCCACGAATTACTAATTCGTTCGCACAGATTACTAATCTTTTCGCACGAATTACTAATTCGTTCGCACGAATTGCTAATTCGTTCGCAGGAATTGGTAACTCGTTTGCACAAATTGCTATTTCGTGGGAACGAATTGCTATTTCATTCCCACGATTTCCTAATTTGTGGGAACGAATTAGTAATTTGTGGGAACGAATTAGTAATTCGTAATGACAAACAATCTTTATTGTAACTTTTTTTTAATAGTTGAGTTTATCACTGAATTGTATGAAGCCCGGGAAGGGACAGGGTGGAATTTTTTTTTTGTCATTTACTAATTCGTTCTTACGAATTACTAATTCATTCGCACAGATTACTAATTCGTTCGCACGAATTGCTAATTCGTTTGCACGAATTGGTAACTCGTTCGCACAAATTGCTATTTCGTACGCACGAATTGCTATTTCGTTCCCACGATTTCCTAATTTGTGGGAACGAATTAGTAATTTGTGGGAACGAATTAGTAATTCGTGGGAACGAATTAGCAAATGACCTAAAACCATCATTTACTACCTTTTACCCTTGACTACACACAGATGCCTCCATATGATGGTACACACACACAAATTTCCCAATAAACAATTTTCCTACTTACCTACCCTATTTTCAAATGCCATTTGATCGGAAGTAGAATTTTTTTTTTTGGGCCTGATAATAAAAATTGTATTTAAAATGCTTTCAGTTTTAAATGTGTGAGAGCAATGTCAAAGCTGCATGTTTTGTAAATATGCAGATTTTTTTTTGATGAAGCTTTTTACAAAAACAAGCAAACAAACAAACAAACAAAACAAAATGAATAAATAAAACTCTGCGACAAAACAGAGTTTGGACCCTTTATCTCCTGGATCTGTACCTGTAATATCCGTAAGTTTGTGAGACGTGTGAGTCTACGTATAAATGCTTTAAGTAAATATGGATTTTCAGCTTGCAAATAGGCTAATGAGGGAAAAAATGGAAACATCTTTTGAATGAATTTTGTACCTTGCATGTAGTTAGTTTGAAGATATACTGTCTTTGCTATTTTGGGGTTCACCCTGAAAAAATATAGAGCTTACTTTATTTGTTTCTATTTTGGGGTGGGGTATAAAAGTCATCCGCTTTTGAATGTGACATCAACTTAAAAATACAGTTTTGAACTATCTATTGGCAAACATTAATAAAGCTCTCAAAGGGTAGACTGGATCCTGCCTCCATTTTAGAGTAGATAATGTGGGGATAGATAACCAGTCTACTCACAGGGTGGATCTGTTTGTGTACAACAGCAACCCAAAATAATGTGCTTTTTTTAAGGGTTGCAAATGCCCAAAATTGAAGAACAAGAAAAAAAACCCAGGGGTTTTGGGGTAAAAATAAACACTCAAAGCTAAAAATGCATTGGGAAAAAATAAAATTGGAAAGTACATCTTCATGTGTTGAATACTAGTGTGATCACACTACTGCACAAAATAATAATTACATTGCTGGAAATGATGAAAGCCCATCCGTACTGCCTGAGAAAAACTATTATGACCCAAGTACAGCAATGGGCCCAACTATAGTTCAGACAGTCCAAACAACATGGTGAAATCTCAACTATAATTGGAACTGCCTCAATTATAGTTGGGATAATGCTATACCTTGGATGAAAAAAGCTGAATTCAAAGCGAATTATTGTTACTATTTTGGAAGTCAAGTTTATCACTGAGGTGTAGTTTTATGAAAAGTCTGGAATTAATGGTAGAATAATCATTTTACTACACTAGATCTCCATGTAAGCTTTCCTTAATATTTTTAACGCTGAAAGCATTGACATGTTTGATTAAAAAAGAAGATATATAAGTCTCTTGATTTTTGAAGTGTGTTGAAAGTATGAGATCATTTTGTTGAATCACTTGTTGAGTAGGCAGTTTATTGGTATGAAACATTAAACTTTGGTATTGGCCCCTGAGAAAGTGAGAGAAACACATGCAATCTGTTTGCCAATCTTCTCTGTTCTCTGCCAACCACCGCTGAGTTTTATTGTTTCAAGAGCTCATCAGGCGCGGATCTAGAGGTCCCCCCCCCCCCCCCCCCCCCGCTCTGATTGAAAAAAAAATTATAGTAATAATGAAAATAAGCTATATGTCTGCGTGTCTGCCACACTCAGACACGAAGGCGTAGCCAGTGGCAGACATTTGCACACTATTATGCTATAGGGTGCATGATGGTCAGATTTGAACAGCATCCTCATCGAAATATGGTACCAGCCAGCCCCCCCCCCCCCTCCCCCCGCCTTTTGATTTTACAGATGCCACATGTCCAGAAAAAAAAATCTGCCTACATTTCAGCACTGATTTACAGATAAAAACAATTCTGGGAGCTGACCCCCGGCCCCCCTGCAAAAAATCCTGGATTTGCCCCTGTTCCTTTTTTATTTATTTATTTTTTCAAGAGCTAATTTTGTCTGTAATGTACATGTAACAAGCATGAATAAACCAATGTTTCTCATTTACTTACATGTGAATGGAAATGCAAGCATTTCAAACGTGTAACAAATTAAATTAGGTGAACAGTGGACTGCCAGCTGGTGATAAGAATGACCAATATTACACTGCCAACAGTTTCTTAATTTTAAAACTCACACAGTTAACTTTCAAATTGTACATTTTGTACAATGAGCAATAAATTCAAACTTTAACAGCAAAAATTAGGGCTTATCTGTCCACTAGAACGTAGGCCTTCGGTAATTATAAGATACAGAACTACAAATTCCCTCTAAAGTTGGGGTTATACACTCAAAATAATCACAAAACTCTAGCAACCCAGTGTCAGTCGAGGATTTCCTTAGTTGGAAGAACTCAGCAATCCCCAGCCTGTAGAAGTCTGTCTGCAGAAGCCAACTTCCCAGAGTCAGACCCCACCCCACTTCACCAAAATGCACAGAGGTTAGCCACTGGAAAAGGTCCCAAGGCTGGAAAATGAGGCAGTTCCTTCAGAAACTGTTAACAATTTCACAAGTTGCAAATGAGGAAACTTGCTATACCCTCCCCTCTTGATTCTATTAACCATACTGAAAAAGTACCAAAGAAAGAGAGCAGAAGGTTGACAATTAAGCCTTATTTGACAGAAGGGAAGAGGAGGGCACATGGGCTCATCAGTGCAAAACAGGCAAGAGTGTTGCGCAGATTTTCGCAAAACTTGATATCACACAAGGAGGACAAGTGTAAGCCGTTTCGCCAGTAGAGTGAATTTTCTCAGATGGGTTTATGTTATGTACATGAACGATGGCACTAGCATTACCAATTTGGCTACACAACTTATGTGCAAACTTCTTCAGGGCACCCACAACATATTTATAATGTTTTAAGGGCAATTTTTTTTTTTGGCCAAAAGGAAATATATTCATAATAAATGTTACAGATCATTCTCCTCGTACTTTGACTTAACCCTAAAGGGCCGGGTTATTTTGACCATCTCTCAGCCGGGGAGGGAGGGGAAATTCCGCCCCCCCCCCCCCCCCCCACAAGATCTCGGCCATCAATTGACAAAATTTTTTGAAACTCGGTACATGCATAGAGCAACTCATCATGAACACACCCAAGAAACTTCATGACTGTAGGTCAAAGGATTTTGGAATTATGGCTAATTAATTATTCCTATGTATGAATGGTAATTTTGCTCTATGTACACGACATATATGGGAAAATTCAGTTTTCAAGGCGCGCTGTGCTGAAAAAAAAAATGTTTCCTGCGCGGCAACCCATGGACCAACTATTATGTTTTTGGTGTCAAAAGATGTGCAAGGCTCGAGGCTAAAAAGTCATAACAGCTCGGGTCATGAAAACAAAAAAAATTCAAGGCTATCGCAAAAAAGTTCAGGGGGGGGGGGAGGTTCCGCCTCCCCCCCCCCTTTAGGGTTAATATGTTTAATTAAAAGCTTGCTCTAGGATCCTACTTGGCATCCTCACAGGATGCACTTCACACTCCATTGATTTCACCTTTTGCTACTTAAGTATTCACTTTCTTAGAGTTTAGGCACTCTCCTGAAGACGGTCAGAGCATACTGACCGGAACGTCGAGTTTATACCTCTGGTTCTTTTCAGAACCATTCTCTTAGTTGAGAAATTATTCGCACATGGTGTTTCCGCAAACCTTTCATTATTTAGTATCTTCACCATGCAAAGCCTCAAATGTTACATTCAAATCTCAAATTTGCATCTTGTAAACAAGAAAGACTTCATATTATTTTTTTAAATGTTACTTCATTGTTAATGTTCTTTAACTTTCTTCATAAGGAATCATCACAATTTGTGATAGTAAGTTTGGTACTTAAAAATTGCTAATCTGCAACACTGGTCTACATGCATGTATTTCTTGCCAGAGATTCAGAACTAAATTATACAAAGTGTCTCAAACTTATCCGGATGTGATAAGTTGGAGTTTTACAATGCAAAACAAAACAAACAACAAACAACCCAACAACTCTGCTTGCTTACACAGTATACAGTCCTCTACCAATCATCCAGACTATGTGTTGACGAGTACAGAAGACTTTGACAAAGTCTTCTGTACTTGTCAACACTGATACTTACATGTACAAATATTCTGTATTTGTACTGTAGCATATGCAATCATGGATTCTGTTAATATTTAAACACCACTCCAACTTCATAACAATATTATTTTTTCAATAATTGACTGTACAACAAAACCTTGTCCATGATCCAGAAAAGATCACAGCCTCCTCAAATCATGTGATGATCTCCTCATGCCTAAAAATAGAAAAGGGGAGTATACAATTTGCCACTTTTGCACGTAGTCATCGACATACCGCCATTTTATCATATAAATCGACGGAACAGTGTTTCATCTGAGACTAACCATCAGAAGAACAACTGTACCTGCATATAAAGTAAGTTTCTTATAAACAATTACTTGGACAAATATGACTCTTCTTGTTTATGTGATGTAAAATTGTCAATTTTGTGTGAACCACCAACCAGTTGGGACAGCTTAGTAAAAGAATGTTTGTTGAAATATTCGGAATCAGAAAGTATATTTGTCATATATAAAACACTTAAGCTTTTGTCCTGAAGCCTGGATTTATTGCATGGTATAAGTTCTTTTGTCAAGATGTTTAGTGCCAACAATTAGAAAGATTTCACATCAGAGGGCCAAGGTCTGGCCTTACATTTTCAAGGCAAACCTACTCATCTCCCTCTAACAGTGCTTAGCCTTGTGCTACACGGATATGTAACTACACACCCAGTGCTCCCTCTCCCCATCCCCACACACACCCATCTTTGTAAACACCGGCAATCGTGGACCCCCTATTGTCCCTAATCCTCATTACTAAGTTTTAGCAACAGCTCTCGTTGGTTTTGTACACAAATTTTAATCGTGGACTATCGGTCAATCTTGGACGTATTGTTTGTGTCCTATAACCATTTTGTCCTAGGTCCACGATTGCTGGTGTTAACACTCACACACCCAAGTGTGTATTTGCCTGCTGTCGGGGACCCCCTATTGTCCCTCTTTTGTTAGTATTACTCTAACTTTTTAGGAAGATCTCCCACATGATTTGAACACAATTGTAGATTGGGGACCTTCAGGAAATTGGGGGACCCTATTGTTGGAAGTTGGGGACTCAATTGTTAAACATCCCCTATTGAATGCAGAAACGAACTCACCCACACACACACACCCACACCCACACAAATTTCCAGTGCACCACAGGTCCCCCTCAAAACAAAACAATTTGGCCCCCTCCCCAGACAAAAAAATGTAAAAATTATCACACAACTTATACCGTACATGTATACTGAATTTATGACAATCACGTTGGGTTTTTTTGGGGCGGGGGCTGAAGTAATTAATCCAGAAAAGGAGTGCATATGACTATTTTTTAATTATCATCTTTATATCCTCCCAACAGAAATTGTGAATAAAGAAATGGGAAGAAAGCCTCTAGCATTACAGATCCATATAACAATAATCTTTTATGTTCCAGACTTTAAATATTGTTTTCAAATTAAATTTATATCAAGTCAAATGGATAATAACCATAAACCAATGCAAAGATGTGCCCTGTGAATAAAATAAATGACTTGCATTTTTGGGGTTAGATTCATAGATTCATGGTTTTCTTTTATCGTACTGCAAAGGATGTTTATACACATAGAGTTCATTGTCAAGCTAAATTTTCCAAATTTATAGTCATACTAATTTCAAATAAGTGTAGAGTTTTGCACTTTCCTTTCAAGGCAATGATACATGTAGGTATCTTTTTTGATTTTATTCAGTTGTTGGACATCACTAAGAAAGAAAGATGGCAGCAAGACATCCTGATGTCACAGTTCAATCTGTGTTGGGTAAGATCAGTCGAGATCATCTGCAATGTCCCGTTTGCAAAGACCGTTTCACCGAGCCTAAGGTGCTTGACTGTCTGCACTCTTTTTGCCAGAAATGTCTCAGAGAAGTCAAACGCAGTCAACGTCCACAAGTTCCAAAACTTGTGTGTCCTCTCTGCAGATTAGAAACCATACTAAAGGGAGACATTTCAGATTTGCCAAGTGATTTCAAACTGAGTGCCTTGGTGGATGAGGTCAACGTCTATGAAAAGTTACTTGAAGGTCAAAGGTCAGACATCAAATGTCAAGCCTGTGATGAAGAGAATCAGGCTGTGTCAAGATGCATGGACTGTGATCATTTTCTCTGTAACGAATGCCAAGCAGCACACAGGCGTGTGACTTTAACAAAATCACATCAAATCTACACACTGGCCCAGCTTCAATCAGGAGAGGTAACTTACAAGAGTAAGATTAGAGAGTATACTCCAAAATGTGCCAAGCATTCCGATCAAAATCTGAACATTTACTGTAACACATGTGAGAAGATGGTATGCACAACTTGTGCTTTTCTAGATCATGAGAAACATTCTTGTGTTGATCTACCCAAAGCTGTCGATAAGTGCAAACAAGATGTTGCTAGAATGTCTGTACAAGCTGAACAGAACAAAGCAAAACTGAAAACAGACATAAGTGAAGTAGATGACAACTACAGAAAGCTGAATGCCATGCATGCAGACACCACCAAGAAAATCTCCAGTAAGGCTGACAAGGAGGTTGCTAGAATCACAAAGGAGACTTCAAGTATCAGAGACGAAGAGCAGAAACTGAAGCAAGAGGCAGATACAATCTTCAAAGACAGAGCCAAGACATTGGAAACTGCTCGTGCCACAAACAACACTCGTCTGACTCAGACCGAGAAAAAGCTGGATGAGGTGAACCAATTTGTCACTCAAGCAAGTTGCTACGAAATTCTGGATTTCAAACTTAAACTCATGCATAACCTGAAAGAATTGAACCAAGAACAATCTGAAAAAGGGCCAGATAATTTTCCCTTCATTATGGATTTTGACGAGGGACCTATTGGGAGGTCACTTGGGAGACTGGTGCTGGAAGATACTCAAATACCCAGCTCAGGTGCCACAGCTGAGGGTTCACAGAGACCTGTAAGATGGGAGCTGAAAAGACAAATGAAGACCTTTGGACCAACAAAAAAAGGGTTCCTCTTTGCTGAGGCAATTGCAGCATTCTCTAACAATGAAATTGTCACATTAGACAGTAAGCATAAAAAGTTGATTACTTTCTTAACCAATGACAACCTTCAGTCTGATGTAATTTCAAAAGAACTCCAACTTGCGGGTCTTACTGAACCAACTCATGTTTCAGTTAACAGGGATGATGAAATCATTGTTCTTCACAAACGTGCTGAGATCAAGATCTTCAATAGAGGTTACCAACCCTGTCTCCATCAGTTCCTACCAGGTACGGAGACAGGCAACATCCCAACCTGCCTTGCAGTGGATGGTGGGGATGTGATAGCAGTGGGTTATAGGGGCAAAGAAGAGATCTCACTGCACAAGAGAGATGGATCCCTCATCAGGAGAATACCTGCTCCAAAGATTGAGAAAAATTTGGCTATCTACAAGCAGCAGCTTTTCTACACTTGCAATGGAGATAATAACCAAAGACTTCTATCGTCAATTGACAGCTATGGTCGCACGGTCTTTTCAGTTCATATTCCCAGCAATATTCAAGGGGTTTGGCATGCTAATGGTTTGTGTTGTGACAAAGATGGCAATATTTATGTTGCTGTATCCGGGTGGCCTTTAGCAATTAGACATGGTGAAATTCAGCATTTCAGTCATGATGGATATTACATTGGCTGTGTCATCAGTGTAGATGATTTTCCAGGTGACGTCACATGTACACCAGCTGGAGAGCTGGCTGTGGCAGCAGTAGAAAGTGTTAAAGTTTATCATCGAGTGTAAAAATGGACAATGAATGTCAAAATAACGACACAAAGAACTGATACAAACAATAGCCATTTTTTCCACAAATACAGTTAACAAAATATGTGGGAACTGTTAATACGGTGCTGTGTTAATTATGGACATCATACTCAAGATATCTGATGGAAGAAATGGACTGGGTTAAAGTCTATCATATGGGTTTAAAGTTATCATCTGATGATCAAAGAGAAATGACTGTATATCTGAAACAATGATCTACATGTAGTTGTAATGTGCATGTACGCATGTATTTGCAGAAATCATGGCAAAGTACATGTGACCTCGATCAGTTTATACACATACCTTTAACTTTTAAAAGCCAATGATCCTCCAAAGTCCTCCGGGCGGTATCGGAAGATTCGAGAGGATTGAAGATGAATGCACCATAGAATTTTGGAGGATTGTGGAGGATTGTGGAGGATTAAGGGCACATGGACATTCAGTACCTGTTGATTTTGGAGGATTGAGGATGAATGGTGTTTGAAGAAGAGGGGGATTTCAGAGGATTGAGGACGGCCTTTTGAGAGGCAGGACTGTTGGAGGATTAAGTAAGATTTGAGGCTTTGCATGGTGGAGATACTAAACAATGAAAGGTTTGTGGAAACACCATGTGCGAATAATTTCTCATCTAAGAGAATGGTTCTGAAAAGAACCAGAGGTACAAACTCAACGTTCCGGTCAGTATGCTCTGAGAGAGTCTTTAGGAGAGTCATGTTGGAGGATTGTGAAGGATTGAGGCAGTGGGTATCCTTCATTTGAACTTAATGCAGAACTTCTGAGGATTTTGGAGGACTGGGGATGGGTCCTAGCAAAAAGGGGCCTGGGACTTAGACTTAACCATTTCAAAAAATATAGCGCTAAAGTTGAGGGCACAAACGGCAATTGTAAGAGGGTCACAGAATATTGCAAAAAATATCAGCAAAACAGAATGCACATGCACAACGTGTGAAAGACCAAATGAATACAATTGTTACAACCTGTCAAATAGGCAATGTAACTGACATGTTATTATTTAGGGAAACTTTCAACTGGAATGTGCCAATTAAGGCTTTTTAACGTATTTCTTGTCTTATGATTTGTCTTATAAAAAATGTTGCTTCAAGCACACATGTTACCACGATGAAGGACTTGATTTTCAAGCACTAACTTCTGACAATCTTCAGATGAATGTTTACCTTTTAATTAATGCACATATTGTGATATTTCATATTGTGACCTCTGTATCATATATCATGCCATCCATGAGATCCAGCTGCAACCTGTACATATCATAATGGGAGTTTGCTTGCAGTATTGATCTAGATCCAGATATTCTGTATCAATTAGTGCACTCCCTATACATTCTAACATTTCAGGAGTTCTGCTGACCTATCAGACAATTAAGTCTGTTGATTCTTGAAGTCTGTTCAAAGTATGAGATCATTTTGTTGACTCATTTGTTGAGCAGGCAGTGTATTTGTATGGAACTCTTGAATCAATTATTGAAACTGATGTATCTGGGTGGGTTTTTTTTCAATAGCAAAAAGTTGGCTTAGATTTAATTTAATATCTTATTTTCGATAGTCTGAAGGATTCATAACCCAGGATCCAGGAATTTGAAATTGGATGTTGGACCTTTGCTCCCCGGGATAATTAAAAGTAGCTTTTTAAGATGTTGTATGTGGCCTTAATTTTTAATACAGGAGAGTGCTGCCTAGATCTTTTGCATATTATGTAAATATTGCTTTTTTGAGTGGCATGTAGTTTCTTTCAACATCAAAAAAGAAACTTTAAAATCTTGAATCAATTCTGGAAATTGGTATCTCTGACTTTTCCATCAAAGACAATAGGTTAAATTTAAAATCATATTATCAAAAAAATGGTCTTGAGATTTTGTATTATCAAGTAAACTAAATATGGCTTGTCAGCTTGTAAATAGGCAAATAAGAAAAATAACTGATTGAATTTTGTACCTTGCATAAACTTAGAGATGCACTGTCCATGCTATTTTAAGTTTAACCCCCAAATATAGAGTTTATTATTATGTATCTATTATTCTTGTGATTGAGATATCAACTGACATAATAAGTTTTAATATGGACAAATTAATTTTAAAAAATTGAATTATATGCAGCCAAAGTATAAGTAAGCTCTGGCAGGGAAGACTGGTTCCCACTTCCCTCTTAGAATAGATAATGTAGGCATTGGTAACCAGTCTACTCACAGGGTGGATCTGTTTGAGTGCAACAGCAACCAAAAATAAAAGCCTTTCTTGCAGAGGGTTGCAAATGTGCAAAGTTGAAGAAAAAGAAGAAAATCAAAACTAGTTTTCTTCTTATCAAATTCACTGGGAAAGATTCAGAATTGATGAAAAGCACGGACAGTACATCTTCATATTTTGAATACTAGTTATGTAACAAAGCTATACAAATAATAATTACATTGCTAGAAGGATGTAACACCATCTGTACTGCTTGAGAATGACTGTTACACCCGAACTATAATAATGGCCATAATTATAAATCAGACAGTCCCAACTATAGTTGGTGCTATCACATCTATACTCGGGACGATCCCAACTATAATTGGGATTTTCCAAACTATAGTTGGGATAATATACCATAAACAAGATGAGCTCATTCTACGTGAATTTTTATAACTTTTTTTAATAGTTAATTTTATCACTGATGTGTAATTATATGCAGAGTCTGGAATTAATGGTAGGATGAGACTGCCGAATGCTGGCACAAAAACCGCTGACACTCATGATCATAATTGGTAGACTAGATGTCCATTTGTAAGCGGTCATTGTTGCATTGAGATTCGAAGCGTTGACATATTTTGAGTCGTAAAAAAGGTAGAACAAATATAAGTAGTCCATAACTTTTGTTTTTTAAAAATACATTTATCTCTCTTTGAATTGAGTGCTTATGGTACTTTTTAAATGTTAACTGATTAATATCATTTTGTCAGTGAATGCTTGTGATTTTGCTATTAATAGAGTATAACTTTAAACATGTACATTCATCCCATGAACTTTATTGTAATTGATCCCTACTATCTCACTAGTGATCTGTCAGACAATTAGGGCCGAAGTCTGTTGATTCGTGAAGTCTGTTGAAAGTATAAAATCATTTTGTTGAATAACTTATTGAGTAGACAGTTTATTTGTATGAAACTTTTAAAACTATGGTATTAATTCTAGAACTTGGCATCTCTTACTTTTGCATCAAAAAAAAATGTTTTTGATAATCTGAAGGAGTTAAGGATGCCCATGTAAATGTAATGAGTAGTCAGTTTGATAAGGCTCCTTTTGTGTTTATAAAGTACGGGCTTTTTTACACTGTGCATGTTAAAAGGGATTTTAGGCAGATGAAAAATGAGAATGTTCTGGTTTTAAAGGACCTGTTTACAATCTGGGCACATACTGCAAAGTAGATTGATGTGCTTATTTTGTATTCTGACAAATCAGCCGGCGCATGGGTGGTTATGACTTTATTGAGCTTGTATGGCCATAAAGTTCTCTGTAAATCTTTCAATAATTTGCATAAATATAATTCTGCAAGGTTTATGTGCCCAAGTGAAAATGTTTACCTCTGTGCGGCATGCTGCTTTTTCTTCCCATTCTAGTGCTTCTGTGTAAATAGGCCCAAAACATGGCTTTTCAGCTTGTAAATAAGCAGCAGAGAAAAACAGCAAAAAAATATATTGATTGAATTTTCCATGTTGCATGTCTACATGTAGAATATTTTTGTTTGTAACACAGCTACAAAAAAATACTCTGAAATAAATAGAATGTCATCCTAAAAAGAAATTTTAGAATGAAATAAATGTGCAATATTTAAGCAACAAGGGCTGTATCTGTTTTGGGTGTAACAAGATGAAATCATTCAAAGTGAATATTTGTAACTTTTTTAATAGTTAAATTTATCACCGAAATGTAACGTTATGCAGAGTCTGGAATTAGTGGTAGGATGAGACTACCGAACACTGGCACAAAAACAACTGACACTCATGATCATTTATGCCCGGAGTTGCTGCACTAGATCTTAAGCATTGTTATTTTTAAGACTCATAGCAATGACATATTTTAGTCATAAAAAAGGGATAAAACATATGTAGCCTGTAAAAAAAAAAGGATTCTATAAAAAAAAAATTAATACATTTTCTCTCTTTAAATCAAGTGTTTATGATGCCTTTTAAATGTTACTTATTATCTCTTTTACAGTGATGTCATGTGATTTCACTCTTAATAATAACTTTAAACATGTAAATATATTCATGAACTGTACTTTAAATAATCAATTTCTCTCACCATTGATCTGTCAGACAATTAAGTCTGTTGATTCTTGAACTTTGTTGAAAGTAAGAGATCGTTTTGTTCAATTATGTGTTGAGTAGGTAGTTTATTTGTGTGAAACTTTAAAAACTCTTCAATCAATTCTTGAAATAAGAATCTCTGTCTTGTCGATCAAAGACATTGGCTAAGATTTAATTCAAAATCATAGTGATTATACGGAGAATGAAAAAAGATTTTGAGATTTTGGTAGAGAGTTCTGTGTGAAATGTATTAATACAGGCAAAGATCCAGGAATTTTAGGGGTTTGGGAACATTTAGGATGCTATATATGGTCTTTTTTTAAATAATGATCTACATGTAGTTGTAATGTATAAATTGCAGAAAACATAGGGAAGTACATGTAACTTCAATCAGTTTACATGTACCTTCAAACATTAACAAAATATGCACGAGAACACTGTCAAAATTGCACATTTTAAATTTTTTTTAAATCTGCAACAAAAAGTGAGTTGGGCCCCCTGATCTCCTGGATCTGCACCTTTAATAAGTTAGTGATGACATGTGTGAGTCTACGTGCATGTATAAATGTGTAAAGTAAATATGGCTTTTCAGCATGTAAATAGGCAAACAAGAACAAACAATTATTCAATGTTGTAACTTGCATAAGTACTGTCCGTGCTGTTTTTGAGTTTCATCCCAAGAACATAGAGATTATATTGTTTCTGTTTTTCTTGCGACATAAAAGTCATCTACTTTTGATTGAGACATCAGCTAACATTTAATTCCAAATCACATTTGTGATAATCTGAAGGAGTTAAGGATGCCCATGTAAATGTAATGAGTAGTCAGTTTGATAAGGCTCCTTTTGCGTGTATAACGTATGGGTCTATTTACACTGGGCACCATATAAAAGGGATTCCAGGCAGATGAAAAATGAGAATGTTCTAGTTTCAAAGGACCCATTTACACTCTGGGCACACATACTGCAAGGTAGATTGATAAACAGATGTGCTAAGAAACTACAGCAAATTTACCAAAATACTGCCTGATAAATTTGTATTCTGACAAATCAGCGCATGGGTGGTTATGACGTTATTGAGCTAGTATGGCCATAACGGGATTCTCTGTAAATGTTTCATTAATTTGCATTAATGTACATAAGACGGCAAGGTTTATATGCCAAAGTGAAAATGTTTACCTCTGTGCGACATGCTGTGTTTTGTGTTTTTCCTCCCATTATAGTGCTTCTGTGTAAATAGGCCCAAAACATGGCTATTCAGCTTGTAAATAAGCAGCAGAGAAAAACAGCAAAAAAATATATATTGATTGAATTTTCTACCTTACATAAGTTTACTTGTAGAATATTATGTTGTAGCACAGGTAACAAAATTAAGAGATATTTGAATGAAATAATTTTGTAAAATTTAAGCAACTAGGGCTGTATCTGGTTTTATCTGAACCAAGTTCATTGGTGGATCATGAAGAGGGGGGGGGGGGTTAAAAACTACCCCTCCCCTCAATCCGCCAATGAAGTTCATGACACAAGTCTTTGAAATGGTTGAAATGCCTCTGAGAATAAAACAAGTACAACATCATTGGTCTTTTGGACACATCAAAAAGAGGGCAATTGGGACGAGAAAAAATCAGGAGAAACAAACAAAATAACATTTTTATCTGCAATAACATGTATGTCAAATATTACAAACCCAAAGAAACTGTAAGCCATTCCTAGGAGTGGCCTTCATGACATAATTTGTCCATGCAGAGTGTTTGCTGCTATCAGAGAGCTTGCTTATGAGAGATTTCACAAGTTTTCTCCAGCACATCAATACTGTATGTCTTATATCATAACCAAACCAGCCAGCCAACCCACACAATAGCAGTGGTTATGTAGAATAAAGATGCCACAAAATTTTAGCAAACACAAGTCCCAGTTGCAAGTTTGTGATTTTTTTCTTGAAACGTTCTCAGACAGTAAAGAGTTTTCAGTGATTAAAATCACTGAAGAGCAAAACCTAAACAACGATTTCCAAACTCATTATTCCATCACAAATGTCTATTGTATCATTTCAAAGGCAGTATCATATTAGTTATCCATTGTTGGTTGTTCCGTATTTCAGGAGTTTTTCCGTCTTCTGATATCACACAATTTGTGAGAAAAATCCTTTCCCGATGAACAACTCTCTAATAAAAAGCATCATGACTCTGTTGTAGTTTTGAATACACTGAGACAATTTTTAAACATAATTTGATTTTTCAGAGAAAATCTAGATGAGAGTTCCAACATGTCTTCTTTTCCATGTAGTCCTCCCATCTGTTTCATCCATCAATGTTGTTACAGCGTGTTGCGACTCCCCAGAAACGTGATTTTCATACTTAAATGACAAATTTCATATGGTAAATTTACTTGTAAGTATTTCAGGGGTGGATCTAGCTTTCATTCAAACAAAGGGGAGGGGTTATGAAGGGGGGGGTTGAGTTGAGGTGTGCCAAGGCACGTTTTGCTGGGGAGGTCCGACCGTCCGAGTACATGCTCTCCCTCCTACCTCCCCCCCCCCCCCCGGGAAAATTAAAAATTCATGATGCATTCTCCTTCATTGTAAGGCAATTCGAAAATAACTTTAGGAACTTTAGCATTCCATTTCTTATTTTCTGGCCCATATTACAAGTATCATGACATAAATCCGTAACAATGAATGGGGCAAGCCCCCCCCCCCCCCCATCAATCTGCCACTGCATTCTGCAGAAGTTCATGTGCCTTTTGAATGGCTTACTACAAATGGGCAACAGAAAATTAAGAGTCAACAACTTTGAGGTGTTTTTTTTTCTTACAAGTACACCTATCAGAGTGAATGAAATCCACCCCATGTGATCATCTTCATTTGTGTTTTTGCTTCCTTGTCCAAATCTGTCTAAAACCACGCATACTGAAGTCTTTTTAACACACTCGTATGGAATTATTGACTGCTATGTGAGTTTAACTAGTTTTATTGCTGCACGGTGAGGAAATGAATTGCATGTGGATATGAAAATCAGTATTACTATCCATTATACTGACAAACACGTCTGTATACATACAGTCCCCTCTGTGACTCTAGGTCAGTGCACATGCATAACAAATGAGTAAAGACTATTGTTGAATCAGAAAGTTTCCCCTGAACACACCTATTTCCTGCAACGTACCAGACAGACAGCTCTCTACCTGGCTACTACACCAGTAATGTTCAAATGCGCCTGTTTCAATGAGACATCGTCATCATTTTGTGATATTTCAACAGAACTGTTTGGATGCCACCTTAATACTTGCCCAGTCCAGAAACTCTACCTGCATTTCCGGTAGGTTTTGTTACCTCTCAAAGAGAACAAACATGAATTTCCAGATATATTAATACCGTCACTTTTTCGCTGCTTGCTTCTTTTAAAATCCTACTACGTGTATGCCTGAGGAAATGTATACAGTTTTTCTGATCTTACTGCAAAGACTATTAAGTTGCATGCATGGAGTTAGTGGTCAAGCTAAGTTTTCAATTGTAAAGTCTAATTAATTACCGGTATCCCTGTCGGTGCAATTTAATGTCAAGGTATTTGAAGGTGTCTTTTGTTTGTGTTATGTTTTAGAAAGAAAGATGGCAGCAAGACATCCTGATGTCACAGTTCAGTCTGTGTTGGGTAAGATCAGTCGAGATCATCTGCAATGTCCCATTTGCAAAGACCGTTTCACTGAGCCTAAGGTTCTCGACTGTTTGCACAGTTTTTGTCAGGAATGTCTCAAAGAATTCAGACAGAGTCAACATCCACAAGATCCAAAACTTGTGTGTCCCCTCTGCAGATGTGAGACCATACTAAAGGGAGACATTTCCGATTTGCCAAGTGACTTCAAACTGAGCGCCTTGGTGGATGAGGTCAATGTCTATGAAAAGGTACTTGAAGGTCAAAGGTCAGACATCAAATGTCAAGCCTGTGATGAAGAGAATCAGGCTGTGTCAAGATGCATGGACTGTGATCATTTTCTCTGCAAAGAATGCCAAGCAGCACACAGGCGTTTACCTTCAATAAAATCGCATCAAATCTACACACTGGCCCAGCTTCAATCAGGAGAGGTAACTTACAAGAGTAAGATTAGAGAGTACACTCCAAAATGTGGCAAGCATTCTGAACATGATCTCACTATTTACTGTGACACATGTGAGAAGTTGGTATGCACAATTTGTGCTGTTGTAGATCATGAGAGACACTCTCGTGTTGATCTACCTGAAGCTGTCGATAAGTGCAAACGAGATGTTGCTAGAATGTCTGAAAAAGCTGAACAGAACAAAGCAAAACTGAAAACAAACATAAGTGAAGTAGATGCCAAGTACAGAAAGCTGAACGCCACGTATGCAGAAACAACCAAGAAAATTTCTAATAAGGCCGAGAAGGAGGTTGCTAGAATTGAAGAGGATATTTTAAGCATCAGAGAGGAAGAGCAGAAACTGAAGCAAGAGGCAGACACCATTTTCAATGACAGAGCCAAGACATTGGAAACCCTTCTTGCCACAAACAACAGTCGTCTAACCAAGACTGAGAAAAAAATGGATGAGGTTACACACTTTGTGACTCTAGGAAGTTGCTACGAGATTATGGATTTCAAGACTAAACTCAAGAATAAGTTGGAAGAATTGACTGAAGAACAAACTGATGATGGGCTGGACAGTTTGTCCCCCATTATGGACTTTGAGGAAGGTACTGGGACGTCCCTTGGGAGACTTGTGCCTGAAAATACACAAATGCCAAGCTCACAGGAACCTGCAAATTGGGAACTGACAAGATGGATCAAGACAAGTGAACTGATCAACAGAATACTTGGCAATGTCGATGGAATTGCAGCATTCTCTAACAATGAATTTGTTGCATTAGTCAAGCGGCATAAGATGTTGATCACTTTCTCATTTGACTACATGTCTCATGTACAAAGACTCCAATTTCCAGGTCTTAATAAACCAACACATGTTTTAGTTAACAGGGATGATGAAATCATTGTTCTCGACAAACCTGCTGTCAAGATCTTCAAGAAGGGTGAGCGATCCTGCCTCCATCAGTTCCGACCAGGTAGGGAGACAGGCAGCACCCCAACCTGCCTTGCAGTGGACGGTGGGGATGTGATAGCAGTGGGTTATAAGCAATGGGATATGATTTCACTGCACGAGAGAGACGGATCCCTCATCAGGAGAATACATGCTCCAGGTATTAGATCAAAATTGGCATTCTGTAAGCAGCAGCTCTTCTACTTTCGTAGAGGATTCTTAGACAAGATCGCACTAACATCAGTTGACAGCCATGGTAATAAGGTCTTTTCATTTAGTATGGAAGGTCGTTTTCCAGAAACATCTGGTTGGTTTACTGCATGTTTGTGTTGTGAGAAAGATGGCAACATCTATGTTGCTTTACATGTGTTTGGTGTAACAGCACAACATGAAATTCATCATTTCAGCCACGATGGACGGCACATTGGCCGCATCATCAGTAAACGTGGTGAGCCACGTCACATCACATGTACACCAGCAGGAGAGCTGGTTTTGGCAACAAAATTTCATGTTAAATCCTATCATCAAGTGTAAAAATTGACAATGAATGTCAAAATAATTAAATAACACAAAGAACTGATACAAACTAACAGTAGAAAATTGTTCCACACCTACAGTTAGCAAAACATGTCAATCTTGCAAACAGTGTTGGATGTGTGTCATATCATATCAATGCGTTTATCCAGTGGGCATCATACTCAAGATATCTGTGCAGACATGGACTGGGTTAAAGTCTATCATGGGTTTAAAGCTATCATCAAATAATCAAAGAGAAATGACCAGATAATTGAAAAAAGATCTACATGTACTTGTAATGTACATGTGCATTACTAATTCGTTCGCACGAATTGCTTTTTCGTTCACACAAATTGCTATTTCATTCCCACGATTTCCTAATTTGTGGAAACGAATTGATAACTCATGGATCCGAGAACGCATTAGTAATTCGTGGGAATGAGTTGGTAATTCGTGGGAATTCGTGGGAACGAATTAGCAAATGACAAAAAAAAAAAATTTCACCCTGTCCCTTCCCGGGCTTCATAGAATTGTTATTGTATGCAGAGCATGGAATCAATGGTAGGATGAGACAGGCACAAAAACCACAGACACTCATGATCATTTATCCCAGAGTTGCTTCACTAGATCTAAAGCATTGTTATTTTTAAGACTCATGGCGTTGACATAATTTCAGTCTTTAAAAAAAGGTTAAATAATATCTAGTCTATAAAAAAACCATTTAAATACATTTTTCTCTCTTTAAATCACATGTGCCTTTTAAATCTTACTTATTATCTTTTTAAAAGTGATGTCATGTGATTTCACTATTGATAATAACTCAAAACATGTTAATATATTAATGAACTGTATTTTAAATAATCGTTTTGTCTCACCTTTGAGCTATCAGACATTTTAGTTTGTTGATTCTTGAAGTCTGTTGAAAGTATGAAATCAGTTTGTTCAATAATGTGTTGACTAGGTAGCTTATTTGTGTGAAATGTTAAAACTCTTGGATCAATTCTTGAAATTAGTATCTCTGTCTTGTCAATCAAAGACATTGGATAAGATTGAATTCAAAATCATGTTGATTTTGAGGAAAACGAAAAATGATTTTGAGATTTGGTACAGCATATTAATTGTAACACAGGCAAAGATCCAGGAAATTGAGTTTCCGCTCCCCCCCCCCCCCAGATCTTGACCATCGAGTGATGAAAAATTATGAAACTCAGTACATGCATAAAACAACTTAACTTAAACATACCCAAGAAATTTCATGAAAACATTTCGCTGCGCTACAACCAGTGGTCCAAATTCATGATTTTGGTATCAAAAGATGCGAAAGATTGAGGCTAAAAAGTCGGGACAGCTCACATCAAAAAAGTTGGGGGGGGGGACAGATTAATCATGTACATACATCCAATGAAATTTATGTTAAACAATATCCTTGCTCTCTCACCATTTTTCTGGAAGTATGTTGAAAGTATGAGATCATTTTAATTCTAGATCTTAGCATCTCTTCCCTTTTCACTATTGATCCGTCAGACAATTAGGGTCTAAGTCTGTTGATTCGTGAAGTCTGTTTAAATTATGAAATCATTTTGTTGAATAACTTGTTGAGTAGGCATTGTATTTGTATGAAAGTTTAAACTCTGGTGTTAATTCTAGAACTGAGCTGAGCATCTCTTAGTTTTTCATCAAAAAACAAAAACAAGTAGCTAAGATATAATTTCAAATCAAATTTTTTGAGAATCTGGAGGTGTTAAGGACGCCCATGTAAATGTAACAAGAACGGGTACTCAGTTTTATAAGGCTCCTTCTGCATGTATTAAGTACGGGCCTATTTACACAGCACACCATAACGGGATTCTAGGCAGATGAAAAATGAGAATATTCTGGTTTTAAAGGACCCATTTACACTCTGGGCATACCGGTACATACTGCTGGTCTGAATATCACCCGTTACCCAATCACTGCGTGACTTCATTTCATTCAAAAAATCAGGACTAAGATTGTGATTGGTCAATTTCAAAGCCACGTTTTGTAATCCAACAACCTGTACGAAAATGCTATCCATCGTGTGGGCGTGATGTTTACGCACGCGGGGAGCTTGAATTACGTGATAGAAGGCGCCTGCTGATTGCTCAGTTCCTCAAGGTCAATTGTTGCATAATTTATCGCCGAATCTGCTTACATATCATAGACCAAGGATGGCTTCGCCAGGGCCAGTGTCTATTAATAGGGAGGTTTCGCAAGCGAACGGATACGCTTACAAATACGTTTAGCTATATCCGTATCCATTTTTTACTTACGTGTAGCGAGCCAGATATGCGTGTCGTCTGCAGGTATGACGTCATACGCCACTCACTATCCGCTAAACGTGCAGACGACACGCATATCTCGCTCGCTACACGTAAGTAAAAAACGGATACGGATAGCTAAACGTAAGTGTAAGCGTATCCGTTCGCTTGCGAAACCTCCCTAATAAGACTCGCATGTACTGCAAGGTAAATTGATAAGCAGATGGGCTAAGAAACTGTAGCAATTTTACCAACATACTGCTCGATAAATTTGCAAATCAGCAAATCTTACAAATCAGCGCATGGGTAGTTATTACGTTATTGAGCTTGTTTTGCCAAGAGGTTCTCTGCAAAACTGTCATTAGTGGAAGTTAATTAACATCATATGGCAAGGTTTATAAGCCCAAGTGAAAATATTTACCTCTTTGCGGCATGCTGCTTTTTCTTCACATTATAGTGCTTCTGTGTAATTATAGGCCCAAACATGGCTTTTCAGCTTGTAAATAAGCAGCAGAGAAAAACAGCAAAAAAATATATTGATTGAATTTTCTACCTTGTATGTGTTTACATGTGGAATATTATTTTGTAGCACAGGTAACAAAATGATTTTAACATTAACAGAATAACACCCCAAAAAGAGATATTTGAATGAAATAATTGTGTAATATTTAAGCAACCTGGGCTGGTTTTATCTGTACCAAGTTCAAAGGTGGATCGTGACATAATTTTTTTTTTATCTGGGAGTTAAATTATGAGAGAGATTTGAGAAGTTTTCTCCAGCACAGCAATATTGTATGTCTTATATCATAACCAAACCAGCCAGCCAACCCACACAATAGCAGTGGTTATGTAGAATAAAGATGCCACAATTAGCAAACACAAGTCCCAGTTGCAAGTTTGTGATTTTTTTTCTTCAAACATTCTCAGACAGTAAAGAGTTAACCGTGATTAAAATCGATGAACAGCAAAACCTAAACAACAATTTCCAAAACTCATTATTCCATCACAAATATCTATTGTATCATTTTTAAGGCAGTATCATTTCGTCACCGTTTTCACGAAGAGCCACATATGTCGATTTTGAAGAAAAAGTGTTTTCGAGATAATCGCAAAAGAAGTTTCTCATATTTTAAAACTGCAAAAAATACCACTTTGCAACCACTTTGTGCAGCAAGGAAACCATCAAACGATTCTACGAGAGCTAAATTTTTACATGAACCCAGTAATTAGACTTAATACATTAGTTAATTGGTGAAAATTAATTAGTAAAGATATGTGGCTCTTCGTGAAACTGCAAATTCAGGTTTCGACATATTGGCTGTTTCTGTTCAGCGTGTATTTCTATAGGCGCGCGTGAGTACGCGCGCGCAGCTGAAAATGTAAGAAACATATGGCTCTTTGTGAAAACGCAAATCTCATTTGACCTACTTTTACGTATTTCTGTGCAATGGCTTTTGTACGCGTTCAAAGGACCAAAGTGTATGTGGGTCTTCGTGAAAACGCAAAATGCATAGGCCTATATCGAGATTTCTGCCCCTTGCAAAATTAATGTAACTTAGAAATAAATGATGTTTTGCTTATAGAAACATGTCAAAAGTTCATTGTTTTAATGCGAAATATTGAGAGAAAAAATCAAAATCAAAAAAATTGTAATTTTTGCCATGTGGCTCTTCATGAAAACGGTGACGATTTTAGTTACCCATTGTTGGTTGTGCCTTATCCTGCCCTAGCTCCCTTCTTTACATTATGGAACCTCTTTTTCTCCTCCCGTATTTCAGGAGTTTTTCCGTCTTCTGATTGCGCACAATTTGCGAAAAAAATCCTTTCCTGATGAACAACTCTCTAATAAAAAGCATCATGACTCTGTTGTAGTTTTGAATACACTGAGACAATTAAAACATAATTTGAGTGTAACTGCAACAATATTAAAAAAATCGGCATCAGTCAGCACTAAAAAAAAATCAACAATCGCTAGAGTAGAAAATTTTTCAATTTCTGCAACGTGTTCCGCGATCATCACACGATTTCTCAGTTTTGTGACATGATCATTATTTTTTTGCTTGATGCCGACGGTTCAGTCATGGCGTAAGAAAATCGTGGGTTGACCTGAGTCCGGCTTAAGTTTTTTTAGCATGGTCGTATAGAATTATTGACTGCTATGTGAGGTTAACTAGTTTTATTGCTGCACGGTGAGGAAATGAATTGCATGTGGATCTCAAAATCAGTATCACTGACAAATAAAACCATTATACTGACAAATAGTCTGTATACATACAGTCCCCTCTGTGACCCTAGGTCAGTGCACATGCATAACAAATGAGTAACGGCAATTGTTGAATCAGAAAGTTCCCCCAGAACACACCTAGTTCCTGCAACGTACCAGACAGTTTGACATTTCAACAAGACAGTTTGGATGCCACCATAATTTACTTGAACATTTCAGGAACGCTACCTGCTTTTTGGGTAAGTTATTTATTTTCTGACATACATTTTTGATGACAAATGACTACAACACAGTGGGTTTACCAGTCAATGAACGTTAGTATGCAACTAATAAATTGCAATTTCTTTACATGTTTTTCAGATTTGCTCACCTTGCATTGTTTGCAACATTTGAACATTTTTGTCGATACAAAGTTTGAATGGGGATCTCCTCAAAGTGAATACTTGCATCAGTTTCATTTTCACAATTATAAGTGCACAAACCTCATTCAGTTTACTTTAGTTTGACGTACTAGT